TTATAGCTTTTTTGTACATGAAATACATAGTTATAATTTTTTTAAATAAATTTTCGTAATCAAATATAAAGCAAATATTTTTAATAAAGTTTTTCGGTCTTGTCAACAAATGAAGAGAAAAATCTCAGATATATAATATCTGTACTATATATTGTTTAGTAAAACTTAAACACATAACAGGAGATTTTTAGTCCATAATGTCCTATCATCTGTTCTTGGACTACAAATATTAAGTCCATTCCCGAAATCGTAAAATATCAAATATGATTCATTGAAATGAAACTCGGAATGAAGTTAAAAGAAATTATATTACCTAGAACTAAAAAGTGTATAAAGTCACATCATGCCATTAGCGAAGTGCTGTAGTGAAAATAGGTTGGTTATATAGGTGTTTCGTTCATAAAGCTAATTGCAATTTAAATATGATTGCTATCTTTCCTAACTGGTTTTTTATAAACGAAATATCCTCTTATGAACCAAATTATAAAATAAATCTGTCAAAGGGGTGTTTGTATTTATCATTCGATTGCAAACTTAAATATTAAAATAAATGCCTGCCACACCTTAATCGAGCAGATTAAAGGAAATAATTTGTATTACATACATAACAATTTTTAATAAAATTTTAAAAAATCCTTAATAAGAATTGGAAAATTAGGTATCGTTCAAAATATGTACTGTCTGTCTATCAACTAATATATAGTATTTTCCTGTTAGGACGTTTAAGATAAAACTTTTTATATTATTATAATTTAAAAAATACTTTCTTTTTTACCTAACTTGTTCCGACAACCCCAAAAAGGTAAAACAGCGAATATCAAAAAAGCAATGAATTTTTTTGGTCTTTACAAACGACTTGTTAATGTTATTTGAAATAAAAAATATTGACTAACTTCAAAAAGGAGGAACTTCTCAATTCGCCGTATTTTTTATGTTTTTTACGTCATAACTTTTTTTTACGCTATCACTATATAATATAAACGAATTCACGGCTCACTGTTTCAACCTGAATGGGTCAAAAACTGTATTAAACACATTTTTGTAGTAGTAAGAATGTCAAATCAGATTACAAAGTACATTCACCCGAGCTTACATTACCCTCTGCACAAACAACATCATTTGCTAGTTTACTTACGACTCAATGAATGCGATAAAGTTGAATTTGTGCAAGAAGATGTTGTTTTCTTGTGGAGCTAATATAATAAGACGAAAAAAACGCATGTTGTAGCAAAATTATTGAGTAGATTAAGAATTGATTCGTTCATACCTACGTATCTATGTATAGATATACCGAAATTTTTTCTATACTATTTGTCAGCAAACAATTACAAACAAAAATAAAATTAAAACTCATTTTTAGAAGACTTTTTAAGTACTCTCGAATTAATTTTGTCATAACTATATAAAAAATAATAAACACGGGACTACATACGAAAATCGCATGAGCTTAAGGAAATACCAAAAATTGTAACAATTGCTGGAAAGTCCACTATATAATAAAGTTTAGAGGAATAAACATTGACTAAGATATGATATATAAATAAATCTGTTATTTTCATTCAACCTACTCTAAAGATTTACGAAAGATGACGGGTAGCGACTAGACGTGTACTGATGAGCACAAGAACTGTTGGAACACTTTGAGGAAGATCTACATTCAGTATTGGAAGGCATAGGATGACTTGACTTGACTCTTAAGAGTAAACCAGAACAAAACAAATCACTGTTTTTTGGACTGAAATCCTTACAATCCTGTCCAGAACATGCTTCCAAAATTTCCTAATAATCCGACAAAATATTCTAAAACAGGTATATATCTCAATAATTCATTTGTGCAAATTACAGCTTACAACTTCCATAGCAAAATATATGAGGAAAACCATTAAATATCTGTTAACAGGGAAATATAAGTAGAACATGGAACAGTCTTAACATATATTGATTTGGAGCCCTAATTTTATTATGGATGAAGTGGAGTGCATTCACCGACGGCTGGATAGCGTGCGGCGCCGACTTGATAACACATCGCGCTGTGGCCATGGCTTTACAATACTTACAGACTCATAATAATTACAAACACTAAGTAATTGTTATATCAAAATATAGGTTATTGTAATAATAAAATAAAACTCGAATGTGGGTTACATATAAATAAAGTATTTTAAGTTGTAACTTTGATTTTATTCTGCCTTGGATTAATCAAACAATATATTTATAGTTAAAAAAAAACATTGCATTTTTTATCTCATATGAATGAATTGAATTCATATACATATAAAAAAAAGTTATATAAATTATTTGAAGTACATAATACGAATTAAAACCTTAAAATGATTTTATTTTGCCAAGAATTTACATTAATAAATACTAAATAATTAATACTGTGGCAACACACTGTATAGTGATCATGGCAACCCTAAAACACAACCTGACCTGCCACAACATTTGACACAGTGCTATCTATTCATTGAAATAATCCAAATATTATAATTTTTAACATTTTCATAACATTATATTTGATTTTGACTATCAAAACTATTTTATTGGTCAAACAATTTTTGTTATGTTTCTTATAAAAAAAGATAATTAAGTACACATAAATTACAATAGTATTGTTAATTTTTATTTATATTTAATTTCCAAGAATATTTAATAGTAATCCCTAGGTCTTTTTGTATTCATAGCTAACTTATAAAAACTCCTTTATTATTGTATCCAACGCCTATTGTATGTTTTTTTTTTTTAATAATTTGTCTCATGATATGCAGCCACAAGAATAACTATTTTATTTATCATATAAAGCCTTATTTATAGATGCTATGCTGTTAATAAAATATATTACCATATTTGAAGTTTGTTTTATAAAAGACGATTGTACCGGTGCTGAGTCATTTGCTTTAACTATTTAAATTGAACTGGCAACAGTCCAATTACAATTTCTATATCCCTTCACTACAATGAGCCACCCCTCACATAAATTGCATATCCTTTATGACATTTTACATAAGGTAGGTCAAGTATTACTGGTTATGAATGTACTTTAAGAAAATAGAATTCTGATGAATTTTCTCTTATTTTTTTTTATTATATCTGTAATATTAACTAATTTTATACATAAATATATGATTTCTAATATTTTTCAAGTCTTTTATAAAAAAACATTTTTCATTTAGGTACTTTTGTACTGATGTCATTATTATATTTATTTAGTGTAAGTTTATATTTATCAATAACTAATACTCTTATAACAAATTACTAGCAAAAATAAACAACTTCTTTGTTCAAAAATATGAAAATGGAATATTTCCTAATTTACGATTATTTTTTTCATTACGTCTTTAGTATTGACTAACACGCGAAGGTAATTATTTACGCACTGTGCAGTAACATATAGTTATTTGAAGAAGGATTTAACACTTTACTGACTTAAAACAATGTTAATTTCTTTGTGAGAACATGTAAAAGTATAAAATTCAGTTTTACTTGAATAATAATAGACAATTACATTGTCTAATATCTTTAATACGACTTCCTTCTGAAAAATCAATAACACTAACACTGACTAATATTTATATGGAGTTTTTTAAAGTTATACTTGTAAAATATATACATACCAGATTACACGCAGTGAAAGTGCACTTTCGAAAACTGAACGCCCAAGTCTTTGCCGAAAAATATCAAAAGATGCTTTTTATATTTATTTATATTTCACAAACTAGTAGCCCAGATCAACCATCAATATCAAACTGTTTTGACATTGACACCTCTCTTAGAATGTTCGTACCCGTTTAGGAATATGCAAGGAGTATTACATTTTTGTTCAGAAAGGCGGAAAATATAACTGATATCACGTGGAGTTTATGATATTTATAAAATCTTTGTGTTTTTATTAAATATATCAAGCAAACGAACGAATATACATTTAAATTATAAAAATTCAAATTATTACATAATTTAATTTAAACACAAGAAACGGATAGCTTTATTTATATACACTGAATAGCTTTATTTTAGAATTGGTAGGATTTTGAAAAAACTAATTTATACTCAAGATTATTTAATCTCTTTAGGTATTTCTATTTGATATTATTAGTTCTTTATCATTTTTTACACATCCGTTATTTATATAGAACTAGCTTTCCGCCCGCAGCTTCGCCGCGTGGAGTTCGGTTATATCGCGTTTCCAAGAGAACCTTTCAAAAGTCTGGGATAAAAACTATCCTATGTTCTTTCTCAAGGTCAACTCTATCTCTGTACCGAATTTCATTAAAATCAGTTCAGTGGTTTAGGCGTGAAAGCGTAGCAGACAGACAGACAGACAGACAGACAGACAGACAGAGTTACTTTCGCATTTATAATATTAGTAGGGATAATGCAGATTGCATTAAAAAAGAATACTTCATGACAACTAAAGATGATTTAATATGATTGATAAGAAAACTTAACGTAATAAAATCATTGTCCTTTTTCTTTTGAAATGGATACTTAGGTTTTCCTTGTACTTATCACAATAATTAACGTTTGCGACCACTTATATTCTAACGTTAATCAAACTACTGTGGACTACAGAGGGACTTTTTTATTTGTATTTCGAATATGTTTTTTTGTTTAGATGAAACGAAGGTTTTCGAATACTACGCGTTTCTTCATATAAGGACATACGAGATAAAAGTATTTCGTCTGCCCATGATCACGGTAGCAAAAGAATCAAAACGTCGGGATCATATCGATACTTTATAATAAAATAACGCGTAGATTCGTATTATCAGATTAGTCTCATTTAAGTGAGTACTTGCGAAAATCTTATATCATTTTTGTGTTAGGTCTGTTATTTATTTTGTAAACAAAGTTCAATGTACAAAAAATGAGACAATTTTATAATGTATTATTGATATATTTAAACTTAAGGCATCTCCATCACACAGCCACCTACACCTAACGGTAGTGCAACTAGTTTCAAAAAAAACTTTTGCAATTACATGAACAAAACAAAACAATATTTAATTAGCGGCGTTCTTGTATCTGAATGAGATGTCCTCCCAGTTGGCAACGTCGAAGATGGCTTTGACGTAATCGGCTCTTACATTCTTGTATTGCAAGTAGTAAGCGTGTTCCCACACATCAATACCGAATAGTGGAACAATACCTGCAATAAATATTACAATATATTATCTGCAATGTATTGGTCAATTAATATATAGATTGTTCATATACAGAAACTATTTAAAGAGGTTCTTTAAATCATGAGTATCTCGCAAAGTGTAATATAATAATTTCATGCGTTGCCTACCTATTTTACGACATGATTTACAACAGATTCAAACAATAAGATAGCTGTTACAAATATATTGTTACCATAGCTTCAGTGACCGACATCAAATGTCTGATATCAAAACTTGGTGAGCTAAGACTTGTTTTGACAAAAATAAGGTACATTTATATAGTTACCAGTTGTGGGCTCCAATGGATCTTGATTCTGGCATGTAGCAATCTGTAACTTCTTCATGAGCTTATTGTAACCGAGCCAACCCCAGCCTGATCCCTGCACAGCTACAGATGCTGCGGCAAGCTGGTTCTTCATATTCTCCATTGAACCAAAATCACTGAAAATTTTAAAGGTTAAAATGATAAATATAATATATAAAAATAACAAATAACACTTGAAAATTATGTTAGGATATATATAATTGTAACTTCATTACTTATTTATAAATATATAATAAAACTATATGGTGCAAGCTACATAGAATTAATGGTGCATACAAATATCTAAAGAATAAATCTATATAGCCATTTGGAAGGGTAGCAAGATGTGAGGTAGGATCGGGCAGTGAGTAGGGAAGAAAAATGGACTTAACATCCAATAATTACTTTTCAATGGCTTTGATGAGATCGGCAGATGGTTTACCCCCTTTTGGGGAAAGGTTCTGCCAGAAAATAGTGTGATTGATGTGACCACCTCCATTGAATCTCAAGGCAGGTGCCAGGTTGATCACGGTCTGTATGTCTCCTGAAGACAGATCTCATGTTACATAACAATGTTATAATTGCATTAACAATCGGATAATTGAACAGCGCAGCATTCAAATCAATTGATATTTGTTTAACACTGACAAGAAAAGAGACTGACTTTTTCTTAGGCTTCAACATAGACATCAATACATAAAATTAAATATATTTATATACATAATTAATATATCTATGATGACAACTACTACGTCTCTAATATATGAGAACTATTTGTGGAGACCATAGTCAAAATAATTTAGAAAAAAAATTACTGGTCTATGGCTTCACGCAGTTCATCAGATGGTTCAGAACGCGTTGGTGAGAGGTTCTGCCATAGTATAGTATGATTTACATGACCACCACCATTATACTTAACGGCAGTCAGTAAAGACAATATAGTGTTTGTATCCGCAGCTGTTAAGGGGAAGCTAATTTAAATGTCATTTCTTATGTTAATCTATATAGAAAAATTTAAATGCAATAAAATTTTACAATAGAATAGTAGCCTATACTTTTTCTATATATGCTTTGATAATAACTAATAATATTTATCTACTACTGACCATTGACATGTTTCATTATTATTCTGATGCTCCTGGGCATAGAAATATTGGTGTTAAGACAGAAAAAAGAACATTTTTAATAACATAGGAAGTTTTACAACAACAGATAATATATCATTTAAATTATTGAATGCAAGGTAGAATCCGAGGAGTAGACATATAAAAATTGACAATTTGGAAACCAATCTATTGACTATCTATAAGCCTTTTATATTGCTACATCAAATGTTAAGGTTTTTTAGTATCTAAGGAATGTTTCTATCAACCTTTCGACTGGGCTGCAGCAAGTTTTTCTTCAGCTGCATTCAAATTGTTTACATAAGTGGCATGATGCTTGGAGTGATGCAAACACATGATCTCTCGACTGATCACAGGCTCCAACGCGCTGTACTCATACGGCAAGTCCGGAAGAGTATGCTTCAGACGAGATGCGCCGGCATTGCGACTGTAACAGTTAACATTTGAGGAACCTTAAGATATTACAATTAATGATTTTACAATTCGTTAATTTCGTATTTTATTTAACTCCGCGGAATCACTTGACAATTTATTTATGAAGTAAAATCATATTGTATAATTACATCAGAGAGCCGATACTGCGAGTCACGAACATTTTCCTCGCTAATATAATTTCTAAATATTAATAAATATAATTTAGAGAAAATGATAATAGTTCAATTCTTGTTAAATAATAACTTAATAACAATTATGCAATCTCAATAAGGTCACCGGTTACTGGAATCTGGATAGATTTATTCAGCTCTAAAGTCTAGTACGCTGTCATTGTCATATTTAAATCAATAGGTACTAACCTACTATTTTACAGAAATTACAATGATATTTTAAATAATTTAGTAAATACTAAACAACCTAAGTTTATGAATATTAAACAATTAATAAATTAGAGGCTCAACATATATAAAATATATTTTGATGGTATTTTTTTATATACATTTGCACTGAAGTGAAGATAGCGATTAAAAAATTTACTTGAATTCTGAATGTTATTGAATTATTAAATCTTTTTTTTGCTCACTTTTATGTACTTTAAATCTAAAATTTATTTAATCGTCTTAATTTTAAAAGTAAATTAAAAATTTTAATAGGTTTATCATGACAACAACAATTGCGGCAATTTAATGTTGTGTACATTTTTCGTAACTTATAATTATATATTTATGATTAAAAAAATTTGAAAAAAAATTCAACAATATGTAAATATAATTTTTTCCATATGACAACATTTTTATAACATGGGATACTGAAACCATTACACTGTATGTTTACGATGTATATAAGATTTAGTTTTCTCTATACATTTTTTCGACTTTGCTCTTTTTTTGAACATAATACGATTTAGTTTCCTCTGCAATTTTTATCTCGTTCAGTCTTAAGATGCGAACGTGTGATAATTCACGTGAGTCGCTAGACGGGAACTCTTTTCAGTTGATTTCGTATCGTGTTTGAAGAATGAGCTGTGAGACCGTCGGCGGCAGTCTGTTTATAAAGCTTGTATAAGTGACTATTAATGTATATGAGTATTTAATGGTAGTTGAGTATAATATCGTGAATTGATAGATATTATACATCGAAAATTTGGTTTATAATTTTGTATGATTTAAATGTTCAAGTGCAGACTCATAATAAATAAGAGTGTAGACATTGGTTGCTATATGTGGTGCTAGTGCATTTGTTTATTTTTAGACTTCACATTTTGCAGTCATGTAATTATTCTGAATCTATAATGTCGCAAAGGGATACCGCTATACATCTTGTTGCTGGCGGGTAAGTATTTATTTATCGTGTACTACTGATAATGAAATGCGCAGTTATCGTATTTGCATAGTTTTGTAAAGCAACATGTGCTGTTGTTTACGCCACCTCACGTTTCTTATTTATAAATAGCCGGTTATCAATTGAAAAAACGCATATAGGTAACAAGTTTCTTGTTACGCGTAGTACTTATGTTTTTTTTACATTGTTATTACGAAAATTTAAGCAACAGTAAACAATATTTCTGAACAAGAATGTGATACTACTATCGGTTTACGTATGTGTATGTGTAACAGAGAACCACACATTTAAATTCTGTGTGTTGTTCTTGTAGCTATTGAATTTTATTTATTTTCGGATATGAGCGTCCATTTATAAGAGTCGTTAAATTCTTATTTGAGTCAGTTTATTTACATGCTAGATTTTATCCTCATTTTATTGCAACAAAAGGTCAATTGCACCAGAAATAAAAATATTCTCAAGGTGTTTTAAGTCTAATCTCATCCTTAAAGTTTTTTTTAGTCAAATGTATATTAAAATCTTATAAGACATTATGAATTAGATTTCTTAGATTTTAGTAATGTTAAAGGGGAGTAATAAAGCGAAATATTGGATTGTAGGATTGCTGGTACCGCAGGGGCTGTGGTTACATGCCCTCTAGAAGTAGTGAAGACAAGACTGCAATCCTCGAAGGGAGTCGGCATTCCACCGACACCACCATCGGGAGCCTCTAACTCAAAACGAGTTTGTTCTAAGATTCCCAAACATCAGGTAATTTATTTCTCAATTATGGCCCATTAGAGAGATAAATTTAGTATAATAATATAAGAGAATTCTATATAATGCACTAAAGTATAAGCAACAATATTATTTATTTATCTTTTTAGTGGTTTTTGCTATATATGTATATGATTTTTATTTACACAGAATATTACAAATTATGATTGAACTATTTAAAAATGGTTGATTCTAAATAGCCATAACTTATGTGTATTTCTTTCAAATTGCTCAACAATAAAAAAATTAAATACTCTCAACTATTTATAATCTCATTATAGTAAGTAGAGTTATTATTCATTAGAACAATGAGTTAACTTGCCCATTAAGCCTGTTGCTATGGAAATAATATAAAAAATATATACCATTATACCAATCATACAAATTTCTATTAAACTTTCACACAAATTCTACTATAATACTGAATAAATTCATGAAGTCATGAATTATACATGAGATTTCATTACAAGAATCTCATAAAAGTATACACAAAAAACTATTTATAACAAAAAATTACCTATTGTAAGGTAATTGTAATTTTTTTACAATAAAATAATATCTGTAGTAAACAAAATGTATACTTCCATTGCTTCGTTAGCAATGTTAATATCAACAATTACCTAACAAGTTACAAAGTCAGTAATTTTTTTGTTTACAACAAACATATGTCGCAATACAGAGCAAAATCACAAAAAAAGCAGAGATCAATTAAAGTCGGTTAATAATATTTTCTAAATAAAACTAGCGATTTAGATGAAATTTTTTGTCAACAAAAAAAATATAAAAATATTGTGTGGAACAAAAAGCCTTGTTTGTATGTAACTATGTCATGTCCCTTTGATAGTGATTAAGTGAAGCCTTTCATAATCATTATACATAGTTCACATGATTGAAACAGATTCAATGAGTTTATTTTTTTGGAACCACATGTTTTTCTATACATTATAAAAGTTTGAGCAGTTCAATTTTTTTTTTAAGTTAGCTTCAAATATTAAAATTTGACAATCATAGGAGTCTTATTGAGTAACAGTTGTTAGTTGGTATTCTTTATTATAAAATAAATAATAATATTTTCAGCACAATTCTCCTGCAATTTTTTTCATGTTGCCAATATTAGAAATATAACATCTAATAAAATTGAGAGTTTGAGTACATTCTCAAGGCTTGAATACTATTTTTCCTGCTTTGGACCATTAAAATTACATTCCAAGCAATATTTTTTTTTTAAATTAACTAAGTACCTGCACCCATACAATAAAATTAAAAGCTGCAAAAAGATTTTATTTACGGTGTATTACATAATGATTGCGTGTTATGGTTCGTTACTTACAATTTATGAAAGGTAAATTTTATAAGCGCCATGAGTATGTATTGCGATTGCATTTATACTAATAGGCATCTAACAGCATAATGGGCTTGTTGACATCGGTCTACGTGCCCCGCTTATGAGTTACACATAATAATTGGTTCTCAAATACACTGCCACAGACTGTAGTAAACAAGTCACTTATATTACATTCAAAAGTATGTAGGGTAATTTGCAATTTGTATTAACTGTATATAAAACCATATTATAATATTTAGCTAGTAAATATATTTTTTAACACTAAATCACTCGAATACAAAATACTCTAGTTATAAACGACGTATTTTTGGTCAGTTTCTCATGCCAGAAATATTTGGCAGCTATTTATATCAGATTTTTAATAGTAATACCATTTGTATAATAATTTTATGTTCGGTTTTTCAGATGTACGTATTAAATATCGTGAAATTTTTATATTTGTCAAGTAATTGGTCGGTAAATCTATTAAAAATGAAGCGTAGAATATAAAAAAAACTTGTGTAAACATGCGAGTCGGAACTGAATTAATGTTATAGATATAAAAAAACAAGTTATTATACTCGTTTTCCATTCGAAATGAATTACTGTCATATATAAGAGTATACTTGAAAGTCTGCATTTTTAACTTTAATCTCACACGTTCATTATGCCGAAAGAATGGTATTTTCGCTATAATACATTTTTAATCTGTACCAGAGAAAAAACTAGATAGAATGTTCCAGAATGCGTACTGGTCACATTCTTATGGTCAGAATTTTCTAGAATAATTACTATAATAGGTTTTATTTTTATGTAGACGTTTTGTATATATAAAAAGAGCAATTATGTTTAATAATTTATAATGGGAAGATTTATTAAGATCTAATTTTTTAATAAAAAAAAATAGGAGTTTTGTTTAAAATATTACTAAGGATAACTTAATGTGATTAGGATCTTCTAGATTTTTCGAAGGGTCATATTCTTTTCTATAATGTAGACGGACTTGTAGAAATTTTTAAGATGAACAGATACATTTTCTAGGTAGATGTTTAAAGATTATAGACATGCATTTTCCTTAGTATGTGTATATCTTGTGTATACACATGGCATATTGTATGTTTAGTTTTAAAAAGGGTTTCAAAAATTGGCCGCAGCGTCAGATCTTCGTATCATGCCTCTGCGATAGTTGAGGCATGAACGAGCGGATTGTAATCAAAGATATCATATCCTTAATCATCATTCGCTGTTCAGTCGAGTCAGTTAAGACCCTTCTGATGGCAACGAGACCATTAGTCCTGAGAGCTTATGTATTCCAGCGAAGTTGAAACGATAGCGCGATTCAGAATACTAGTAGCGCCATCTCTTATTGACATTTCACATCACTTGTCAACCACGAGGCGCTGTTCGTATTTATATTGTACGAACTTATGTGAGCTCATTGACTCAAGTTGTGTAAACTGTTGATATTTATAGTTTAATATTACATAATATAGTCATGAATAGTAATGTTGGCCGTTTAAAATATTAACTGCATTGTTGATTTATACGCCATTATTATTGAGTTGTTTACGTTATAAAAATACAATGTCCGATGCAATTAGACGCTTTAATGAGTAGATCGTCGCGATAAGGCCGACCTTGCCCAAAGTCACAGCTAGTCGAGATGATTTCATTAATTTGAAGTTCATTTATAGAACATGTTTTCCATCATTGGCGATGGCCACGCATGCCATGCCATGGCCATCTTTGTGACACTTTGGCGAATGGAGATATGCACCGTGTGATGTACTAAGTTGCGATTGTATTTTCTTGATGGAATAGTATGTATGGAATTCAAGTACATTATATGCACGTTACATCTAATTTTAAATAACAAGACCGACTGACATACACTCACATCTCATCAACATCTCCTCTGCCCGTGATCACGGTTGCTGTAAAGTAACCGAAACATCGGGAGTATGTAGTTTATAGTCGAAAATAAAAAATGGCGTAGTAAATCCGAAAATATTAGTTTCATTTACATATAATTTAGCTATTGTTATTTTTATTTATTTTTAATAATAAATAAGTAAAATTCTTAAAATACATTGATACTCATATAAGATAAAATCGTAATTAATGCAATGTTTGAGTTTTACACGTATGACTTATATTTGTATGAAAAATATTTTTAGATAAAATCTTCCAGTTTCCTTTTAGTGTAACAACATCTCTTATCGATAGTAATTGATTATCAAAACAAAGCGATTCATTTGATGAAAAAAACTCTTGTCAGTCTTCGTTTAATTTTCCATGATTTTGATAGATTGCTGTTTATTTTTAGACACGACATATTGTCGGATTTGGCGGCAAAATTGCTGTCATATTTAAACCTCTTTCGATGTCATTAATGGCGCTCAAAAAAAAAACTAATAGTCAGTTTGTTACCAATAAATAACAGTTTTTTGGTTAAAATATTTATAAGGATTTATTAAAAACATTATTTTGTAATTAGCTTTATGATAAAATGAAATTAGTATTACATAGCGAAAATATTTTTGAGGTCTTTGAAAACTGTAGAATAATGTTTAAGAGATGTGTACTTTGATAGACTTTATGAGACGAAACTTCTCAGCATTCCTTGGTGTGCCGGGTCCAATTCATTTATTTTTAACGTAATAATTCATTTATTTTAACGTAATTCATTTGTCATTTTTAATCATATGAATGTAAATTATATCAAGTTGTATTGCTTATTTATTCATTACATATATGTAGTTCACTTTTTTGTTTTTTTTCTCTAGTATTATTTTATATTGTGTAATATATTATATAACGAGACATCCCATTGAAAATGTATGACGTGACCGATTCATATAATATGATATATATATTTATATGTTGATAGCAAAAATATATGTCATTGTTAGCAATGAAGAAATATTATCATTCCTTAAGATATTGATAAAACTTAACAATAGATACGAGTACGCCCGGTTCGTGTTTTGGCGTCTGTCCAGAAGTATTGACCTGGTTTTTTTATATTTTCTAAACATAAGCTAATTGTTATAATTTTTGATATAATTTTAAAATATTGATAGTTGATTAATTATATAGTAATTATGATCTGTGTCACTAGTTATCTGTGTGTGTAATTTTTTTATCTTAATCCATTTGTACATTTGCACCGTTAACCCAAATGTCGAATATTTCAAGGTCTTATAATAAAGCCGCTGTTAAAGTCACTTTTTATTGTGTCTTGATAGAAATAAATCGAATCGGCGTAACTTACTCCATATTACATCAGCTCTTAGTCACTTAAATTCATCCAGCCGTCCATAAATTATGTGTAACCAACAGACAGACAAAATAAAGTATTAACATTATATGTATATATGGCTATTTAATTTGAATTAAATTAAAAAAAAGTATAAAATCTCAATATAAACGGTGCAATGGTAACAAATGTGTTTATTTTTATTCATTCAAATACATAGTATGATTTTGTTTATTATGATATATTTCATCCACTTTTCTATACTTAAACGAGTAATTAAATATCCTTTTAATATTAGCCATATATTTTATAGCACATTAAAATATTATTACACGTAATATTGCAACAGTTTTAAATTTGATTGCATCACGACAGAGGACGTCCAAGGAATAGTAAATTACACAACACTTTGTGGTATTACAGATACTCAAATCCACGTGTTGCTAAAAGGATTTATATATTATAAATGTTTTTATATAGAAATTATTATATAATAATCTATAACAATAATTAATTATAGTAGTAATTAAAATTTACTTTTAATTGTTATTTAAATTTTATTTTATATCTTACTAATTGCTTTTATTATGACCTTTTTAATGAATTCTTCATGAATGAATAAAGGGATTATTTAAATGAAATATTATTAATTGTTTACATTGCATTTAAATGCAATGTTTAAACATTAAAATGATTTTTTTTATTCGACTATATTTTAAAATAGTGTTTGACTGCAGCTTATTAATAATATACTGTATATAATTCGTTAAAATAATTAATTTGATTAACAAGCCTTACCTTAAGTCTGTGTCACATCACTTCATACAAAATATACCTAAATGTTAGAGCTTGGTCGATAATTCTGCGTCTTAATGAAATTTCGTAATAAATTATAGCCTATGTTATTATCTGATGTTTAAACTTACTATTTAGTTTCATCAAAATCCGATCGTTAGTTTTTTTTGTAAAACGGCAACCAACTTTGATACATTTTCAGGAATTTTCGATTCACTTTTCGGAGATTCCTTACTGTGATTATAGTTTTCAAACATTTAAATAATATTTTTAGAAATATTTTAATTATTAATTGTATATTTATTTCTTAAATAAAAAAGATTTCACATAGAAAAAACTTAACTCTCCTCATACTGACACAGCCTTTTATATATTATTAACACAGTAAAAAGCTTTCTTTGTTACACTCTAACCTTTTTACTTCTAAATAATGGAATAGACTGTTGTCTCAAACATTTTAAATGTCGCCTCACACTAAGAAACTGTATTAAATTAACTGTGAAGTGCATTTGACCTTTGACCTTATAATTAAATCTAGAATCGTTATTTAATATTATATATATATATAAATTTTCTAATAATTACTGTTCTTTTATAAATAACATTACAAGGTTTAATGAAATAGACTCTTCATCTGTTTCATATGAGGAGTTGATTCCACTTGTTCTTCCAGATGTAATGTATACAAGTTTAATTTATATATTTTTTCTTCCTCTGTAAGTAAAACTAGTACATTCTATAGAAATATACAACTAATATGAATAATGTATGACAATGCCTTTTAAATATATAAAAAATAAATGACCCGTATGAAGGAATAAATTGCTTGTTTCTGCGTTTCCTTCGAGTTATAATTTGGGCATCTTCAAGAAAAGAGTGAGTAAGTTGCTGCTGAGATAGTTTTAACAAGCAACTTCATTAATAATTTCCAATGTTTGTATAAAAGTAAAGAACTAACCTGCCTATGAAAATGATGACCCCAAGTTTAAGTCGTCACACTAAAAACTAAATAATCGCTCATTATATTATTAATGTACGATATTGAATAAGAAATTGGAAACGCTTGTATATGCTTGTATACTTGTATACAGTGCAACGATGTCAACTCGTGTTAAAAATACTGTTAAATAAAAAATCTATTTTTACATACGGAGGGGAAGTATAACAGCTTAAGAATTTATTATGCTTAAGTACAAAGGTCACTTAGATTACAATGTTAACATAGACATTTGTAATAACTCTTTAATACCTAACGGTAGCCAGAAAACAAATAAAATGTTCTAATATATAAAACGTAATATATGCCCATTTATATATAAATTAAATTAATAAATAATAATAGTTTACAACAAAAGAATTGTCTCAAAGATAGTGCCGGTCGTCTTCTTTATTCTTACTACAAGTTTGCCTTGTCACTTACATACAGACCGTTGATAGTTTTTCAGTCATAAATCTTCGCACATGATCGTGTCACGTAAATATTAATATAGAACTGGAAAGTACATAATTACTGATTACACAATATATTTAGTTTTATTTATAGATCTCGTGCGAAGATTAACGAATGAGGAACCACAATCTGTATTTTATTTTACATACGTAAACATGTAGTAAGCTCACCGAAGACTCACAAACGTCGAACCAGCGTTTAACCGGCAACGCTATAATTAACCGGCCATATAATGACAGGAGGCTAAATGGGGCTACAGACGTACGATGGGCGCTATGTTCGCCTACACCAGGCAAGCAGATCGAATGCTGATGTCCTACAATTGTCAGGTGCAGCAGTACGCGAGGGCTGGCCACGCGAGGACAACCTCCAGGATGACCCTTATACAGTGTCTGAGGTAAGAATATTTATTAACTTAATCATCACACTGTATCTCTTCTTCTACCTCTATACCTAGTCTGCTTTGCATGTTGTGAATAGTTTTGGCTATTTGTTTTTACGACCGGCCTGCCTGACATCAACCCTCTTTGGGAATCAAAATTAATCAGTGATGTCTAAATACTCTTAGAAAGTACATATGACTCGGAAAAATCACATTGGTACTTGCCCGGAGCATGAGAGCATGAGAGGCGGGCCTCTTAACCACTAGGCCACCACTGACTATTTAATTATTAACTTAATCATTACATTATACCTATCATTCATTTAAATTTAGTCAGCAACGAAGATTCAAATACATGTTCTAACTAGAAGTTGTTTGAATGAGTATAGTTTAGTTACCTGCATAGATTTCTCAATAGAAACTTAATTGCTTAAAGTTTAAGATACTTAAGACAGGATTATGGTTAGCGAAATTACATATTGATGGTTTAAGTAGTAATAGTAGTATTAAATTGATATTACAAGCCTAGAGGCTAGACTCTAGATTTAATCAGTAAAATTGGCATTCTAATTAAGAAAAGATGTAGTTACTTCTGTCTGAGTTTTTGGAGGTTAGTCCTAGTCTACAATTTTATTATGCTAATTAGCTATACATGTATAAAATTGGACCTATATCATCACAAAATATTTCTTTAGGAATTAATATATTAATATGACCACAATATTTAAGTCCTCATCTTACTAGCATATAGTATAGTCACATACTTTGTTAGCTTCAAATAATTCATGCAACAGAGTTATTAGCATTAAAACCAAAATATAAAACAAATACGATCAGCCAACTTCATCTGTGTTTAGTGACGTCACTTAGTTCTACCGTCATGTGGTACATAAATAAATATAGGACTTTGAACTTTATCGCTACAACTGTTTTGAGTAAACTTATGAATATGTTTGTATTTCAAGATCATATGCAAATAGGGTTCAATTTTAAACAAATGTTAAATTATTTCAATGTCCATGTGACTCATTGTACATAAATAAACATATAAATTATAGGTAGGTATATAAAAGAAAGTCGTTGTAGTTACACTATTTATAATAAGAGTACTGTTGTATCGATTTGACTGAAAATGTGTGGGAAGGCGACTTAGAACCAGAGGAATGATTTAGGACTTTCTTTCGTGTTTGTGTGACGTCATTAAGGAAATATTTGACTTTAAAGAGAATATAAGTCACTATAAAATTTGGTATAATAAAAAATAATTCGACACTCTCATTATATTTTCTAAGTTCACACAGACAAAGTCGTAGCAATAAACTAGTACAATATAAAAACGTCGTCGAATAAGTAATTTGAAGGATTTACTGTTAAATGCATTTCGTCGGAAACGATAATTTTGCAAGATCCACTTCCTGACTTAAATGACAATGCATAAATTTAAATTCATCAAATTCAAGGTAAACTAAAAAATATAAAGAAGTATATACATATACATACATGCTACTTACTAGTTTGTTATATGTACGTTTGACTTGTAATTATACAATTGGCTGTTTGCCTTGGATATTCATTATCAACAAACATGTATAAACGACCTTATTTCGATCTACGGATATCTGCGAGGATTAAAAATTTATATCAGAAATATTAGTACGAGTTATTATTGTTTACGTTCACAACGACAGTTTTGATTTTGACGAAATTCATTCGGGTGTGTTCGGGAATATTCGGATCCTTTGATCGTGTCTAAGTTCAAACTAATACTACAGTTTTTTCGTCTAAATTATATAATATGCTAATGAAAAAATATAACTAACTAGCTGACCCGGCAGACTTCGTACTGCCTCAATCAAGAAATAAATTGTCTTATTTATTTTTTTGGTGTTTACCTTTAAGACATAAATCTCCGTGTCCTGAAGTGCGACAAAATGATTGACATATTAGTTAGTTGTCAAAACTAATGTCAAAAAACGGTTTGTATGGGAAATAAAAAAGCGCTGTTTTTAGGCTTTTCCTGGAAATTAATAAACTTTATTCAGCTTTTAAACCTTTCCTGAACCTCTACGAACATTTCAAGACTAAGATAAGATAAATCCGTTCAGTCGTTCTCGAGTTTTAGTGAGACCAAGGAACAGCAATTCATTTTTATATATATACTAGTTTTTGCCCGCGACTTCGTCCGCGTTAGTTTGGTCAAGAGTAATATATGTATAGCTGACCAGGACAATTCTATTCCTTCTTGGAGGCCATAAATAATCAGGTTTTTCCTGTTTCAATCAAACAGAATGATTGACATATTAGTTAGTTGTCAAATCTAATGTCAAAAAAAACGTTTGTATGGGAAATATAAAAAGACTGTTTTTAGGATTTTCCCGGCAATAATTCCAATTTTTCTCACCTTTTAAACCTTCCCTGGACTTCCAGGAGTATTTTAAGACTAAAATTAGCCAAATCGGTTCAGCCGTTCTCGAGTTTTAGCGAGACCAAGGAACAGCAATTCATTTTTATATATATAGATTATATATACAATCTCTTTAATTGGATTTTACCTAAGAGTATTTATATAATAAATATAAAATTATTATCCACTGCTGCATATTTGAATGTAACTCGAACAATAAATTACTAGATCGCTTTCCTCTTTACATCGGTAAGCGGCGATCCGGTCTTAAAATAGCAAACCGGTTATTGAATCCGAATATTAAACAGTATGCGTGTTTTCACCGCAATAAAGCCCTACTCTTAGTACAAGTTTGCATCGCTTTACTACATAACAAGCGTTTTCTGTCTCTCATTTAATATCTCATGAAATACTGTTGGAGTTACGTATGTAGTTTGACGATATTGATTTGGACTAAGCATCGTATTTAACTTATTTATTGATGCATAACGGAATTATTTGTATAGACTAAATACTACTGTTCACTACTACACTAGTATTTACTACTACTAGTCTTCAATATTACTACTATTACTCTTATTGATGACTTATTTATTTGTTGAAGATATTTCGTTGTTATATCGGTAACAAATTGAGAATTTTTGAGAGTATTGTCTTTACTTTAGAAGTAAGGAAAGTCATGTTAGGTCACTAACGGCGTCTTATTTTTATACAAAATGAGTTTAGAATAATAATGTACGTCAATTATAGTTTTTACACATGAAAGTCAAATTTAAACATCATTACAATGGGATAAATTACGTAGTTTTTTGATATTTTAATTTCATTCTGAAGTTTTATATTTGTTTTATCAAAATATCCTTTATATTTCTTTACCAAAAATTTAAATCGTCACAATCTACATGTGTTTTATGAAGGAAAAACTGAAAACTCTAAGTATGTAGTATGATCAAACTTGTATTAAAGGTACGTTCAATAGTATTTTGTACAACCATCAAAGATTTTATTGACTTCTGAATGTATGAGTTTACGTAATATATATTTTCACAGACAATAAACTACAAAACTATTATTTTATTCGTGCTCCTTAGTATTAAAAACTACCACAACATAAGAATACACATTTTGGTTTTAATTAATTTTAGCGACATATTAATAATTTAAAGTTAAGAGAAATAACTTCAAAACTATATGTGAGTGTATTGGTTATACTTGGTCAGTATTGTTATATAATAATATGATATGAAGACCAGTCCCATACTTTAATTAAAGGTGTGAAACCGGCTTCTTTCTATATAAATATAAAACTTTATCACACTAAATACTACCCATTCTTACTGTTGTATATTATTATTTGGTCAGTATGTTAAATAATAATATGATATCAAGTATTATGTAATTATTCCCAAAGAGGGTTGATGTCAGGCAGGCGGCAAGACGTAAAAACAATTAGCCAAAAAACCTATTCACAAAATGTAAGGCAGACCCTGGCTAAAGCTAGGAAAAATTGCCAGGTAGAAAAAGATCAAGTATAAAGTAAGTAGACCATTTTGTTATATAAGATTAATTCAGTCTTGCTACATATTACAATACATGTACATATTATTAATATAATATTATTTTAAATCCTAATATCCTATTGGTAATTAATATTATAAGAATATCCATAGTTACCAAATATATATATGAATAATATTTAATATTCGGTTAAAGCCAGTAGTAACAATATTATCGCTCGTGTGCTAAAAGATAAGCTACATATGATAGTCACGTCAGACGTGCATGGATAATTTGCAGACGTCTAGTAAGTGAACTAAAATATTCACAAAACATCAGGATTGACACACAAATAATTTATTATACATAATTGGTTTCATTTCAACTAATTTTTTTAAAAATCCTGCACTAACTGACGTGCTGCTTTAGGTAAAATATATTTTTGTATCACTTAAATTTAATTTAATCTTTTTATTTAGTGTAAGTACTTGAGATTTTTTTAATATAAAAAGTGTATATTCTTTTGAATTCAATTTTATTAAAACGTATCAAAAAAGCTTCTAAATTAAGTTCAGATCGACAATAAAATTTAAAATTACAGCCAACCCTTAAAATATCTTTGATTGTGTAAATATTTATCAATATGTATAGATATAATTAGACTTTTGTATACGTACGAAGATCGTAATTTACAGATATAGTGCTGCAGAGGTATTTTGTAGATAAATCATTGTGTGGGGCGATAACTTTGACTGCGATCACGATAAAATAATCTAAGATATGGAGTTACTTCTGATATGTTAAAATTTATTTACATTTTTTGTTTAATAAAAAAATATTAAAATAAATGTAACTAAATCTATTCTCGCGAATATTCATTCAAAATAATGAGACCAACTGACAGACATTCTCATCTCGTCTGCCCGTGATCACGGTTGCTGCAAATTAACCGAAACATTTGTAATTTGTAGTATGTAGTTTAAAAATAATAAAAAACTCATAATAAATCCGAAAATAATATTTTTTTCTCATAAACCAAGAATCCATATTAAAATTTAATAATTAACGTGATAAGAGTTTTAATAGTTAAATTTGAACCCAATGTCGAATTCTGTTTACACTCCACTATCTCTGGCAAATTATTCGATCCATTTACGTCATAGTGATGTTTGTTTATGTTTTATTATATCAAAGATTGAGTCGCGGTGCTATTTATGTGAATATTGTTAATTACTTCCAATTATAATTATAATTTAGATGTGATAATTCCTTAGAGCTTCCATTGGATTTTGTTTGATGTGCTTAGTTCAAGATTTAAATGGAGCTATAGACTAGGTGTTACCTACTTTCAGATCTAAAGTTATGTAACTATGTATCATTAGTAGCAACCATTTTTATCAAACAGTAGCTACTAAGTACAGCTTGGCAAGTATTAAAAACATATTTGAGACTGGATTTATATTATCATTATGACGGTTTAGATTTGATTTTTATAAAATACCTAAAATCTTAGTGCTGTCAGAACCACCTCAGTTGAATCTCTTGTCGATAAAAAAAATATTTGAAAATCAACCTTTAGTTACGGGAGTAATGGCGTAACAAACGTTTAGTCTAATTAAAAAATTCCTTTTTTTGTTTTAAAGTCAGTTAAAAGTTGCCTTAGTTTATCCTTAAGACGTACGTACTTTACGCACGTGTGAATAATATTCTTGTCAAAATCAATCTAGCCTTTCCGGAGATAAACTGGAACAAACAGACAAAAAAAATGTGGAGTTTTGATGTTGGCTTAATTTTTCCCATTGTGTATTTCGGATAAACATCACACAAGATTAAAGGCTCAGTATCAAGTACGAGTTACTTATAGAAGTATAACAATAAGAGGATCTAAAAATATTGTATAACAAAACAAAATCATACAGTCGAAGAAATTATGTGACAAATATATATGATCTATATAATTCATTGTTAATTTTCATTCATGTTCAATCAAAATAATTAGTAACCAAATTCATTGAAGATCTATCGTCTTTTTTTTTGGTAAGAATGTCCTGTATTACAACATACAACAAAGTAGTTCAAATGAAACTATCTTTATTTCCAGGCATATAGTACAGAATGAAGGCGCTCGGGCGCTTTTTAAAGGTCTTGGTCCAAATATAGTCGGCGTGGCGCCATCAAGAGCTATTTACTTCTGCACATATTCGCAGGCGAAAGCCATCTTCAATCAGCACCTGCCGCCCGACACACCAATAGTGCATCTATCGGCAGCCAGTGCAGCAGGTCAGTCTAATAGCCTTTTTGTTTTTCAGCGTTTTTTTTCTTAAGTGAAAAATGCCGCGAGTGTAACGCCCGTGTTGTACGAGCTCTATTTTATACTTAAATCACACTGTAAAGTTTTTTTGATGTACTTAGAATAATAATTTGGCTAATTTATACGAAGAATTCAGTAATGTAATACTAATAACATTACTGATTTTATACTTTACACAATAGTGTAAAGTGTAAGATTTCTGTATATTTTATTTTTGTATATAAAACTATTAATTAATGTATATGTATATATCAATTGAAATATTTATTTGCGTGATTAAAGATACTTTCTATCTTACCTTTACTGAGGTGTTTCAAACAAATATGCAATATTCTCAGTACAATACTTCTCTAAAAGAATAGGTTTCCTCCTTATGTAACTATGCATTTTTATTATTTAATATATGTATAGAATAACAAAACACATTTATAATATGAAATGTTCGTATTGTCCTCCCACGGATCAAATAACGGTCCGTAAATATGTATAAAGAGTTGTCGTTAAAGTTATTTATAGAACAATAGCCTTACTACACGACTGTAGAAACACACTACACACGACGCGTTTCACGTTTACCATTCATATACAGTAATACCCCGCTTTACGCGAGGGATACGTTCCGAAGAAAATCGCATTAACTGAAATTCTCGTATATCGAGGTTTATGATTAAACACAGTCAAAATTTAATACATAAATATAAAAATCAGTTTAATCAATGACTTTAATTCTAAGAACACTATACAATACATAGGTACTCCTATTTTTTACGAAAAAATACATGTATTGTCTTTTGGAAAGCGTTTTGTTTACGTTCTTGTAAAATACGTTCATAACACCAAACACTGTTTTTAATCGTTTGACACACGTTCAAGACACGGTCATCATTATTGTCTATACTCTGCAATGTCCCAACCTGAATAAACTTTTGAAAATCGCGTTATAGTGAAACCGCGCACAACGGAGTGGCGTTAAGCGGTGTATTACTGTATAAACGTATGTTTATTAATGAAAAACTGGAAACGCTAATTGTGTAGTATGATGCGAACTCGTGGTAAACTGTAAAGATACTCGGTACTAGGTTATAAAAATATTGGATGTGAAATCTTCACTATACATATGGTTATATTATATTAAATTGTATTGTCATTATTGCTTTAGAAGTATGAAAAATTATTACATATATATATTCATATACGTAAAAAAGTGTTCTTTGTATTGTTAGACTATAATAAATGAAATAATATAAATTATAATACTTGTATTTGGGAGCGATTGGTTTAGTTTAGGAGTTGGACTTAAAAATAGATTACACATACACACACATACAAACAATATCAGCGAGATGTAATGTATGGTCATTTTGGTCATTCCTAAGACCAGTTTTATCTGGTTACTGAGAATTACCCGTTATGATAAAGTTTTATATAAAACTTATTTTAATATATATGTATACTAGCTTTCCGCCCGCAGTTTCGCCCGCGTGGAGTTCGGTTAATCGCGTTTCGAAGAGAACCTTTCAAAAATATGGGATAAAAACTATACTATGTTCTTTGTCAAGGTCAACTCTATCTCTGTTCCAAATTTCATTAAAATCAGTTCAGTGGTTTAGGCGTGAAAGCGTAACAGACAGGCAGACAGAGTTACTTTCGCATTTATAATATTAGTAGGGATATATGACTCTTCAATATATAGTATAATTATCATATTTCTTTTTTCTCACAGTAACAAACACAGCTTTATTTTTATATTCCTGTTTATTGATATAAATATATTTAATACAATGAAATGATCAAATTGTTCACTTACTTATACATTTAGTTCTCGTTCTGTTTATCGTTGGATTAAATATAGAAAGTGGTGCCTGTTTTGCTGCCAAATTTACGTTCAGCATCCTTAGTATGAGTGGATCGTCAGAAATACGGTCGATTTAGAGTATTTCATACATATATCAATATACTATACGATTCGTAATTGACAATATGATTACTTAAATATTGAACATATGAATTAATAGTTAAGTATTACTTTAAAAACTATTCCAGCTTAAAACAGTACATATATATCTCAGCTATAAAGTTCTATGTTTATTACGAGTTATTTTTTTACCACCAGTTGCTTCATCGCACTACATACGCACCGTTTCCCGTTTCTCATTCAATGATCGTTCTATGTGTGAATTTATGAATGAACAACTGTTAGCTATAAAAGAGTGTATGTTACTGTATTTGTCTTTTTTTCAGGTTTTGTATCCTGTACCATGACTAACCCCATCTGGTTCGTGAAGACGCGCTTGCAGCTCGATGGGCAGTCGGTAACGGCGTGGCAGTGCATCAAGAAAATATACGACAAAACGGTTAGATATATATAAAATAATATTAATTAATACTTATTCGGAAGTCGGTTAAACCATGCATAAATTACAAGAAATGCATTCCAATAGGAAAAAAGGAACCTTCCAAATTTAAAGGCAGATGTAATTTTCCAATAAGATAAGTGTAACTTAGTCCCATATATGCAAAATTTTATGTGACATCTAAACAAAAGTACCTCCTCAACTGACGATTTCAGAAATGATAAAGAAATATAATATATATATCACTTAGCTTAATATAATAAAACTTATATATAATGAGATCTAAGATTTTCGCGAGTACTCATTTACACTTATATATAATACAGGGTGTTCGAGGTTTCTACAAGGGTATAACAGCGTCGTACATGGGTATAAGTGAGACAGTGGTGCACTTCGTATTGTATGAAGGTGTGAAAGCCCGTCTGATAGCGGCTCGGGCCCCCGAAGGCCTCCCTTCAGACACACGCTCACCCAGAGACTTCCTCGAGTTCATGGCGGCGGGGGCCTTCTCGAAAACTGTAGCATCCTGTATAGCGTATCCACACGGTAATGACATAGGATTTTATATATTGCCCTTTCCCTGTTCCCACCTTTTCTTCCTTTTTCTCAGCAACTAAAGTTGGCTATGCATCCGCAATATTTATGTTAGCATACTGTATAGCGTATCCACACGTTATGAATGCTAAGGATTTTATATATTGCCCTTTCCCTATTCCCACCTTTTCCTTGGTCCCACTCCTCTCTTAATCCTCAACAATCAAGGTTGGCAACTGCAGTATTTATGTTGCGGATTTCCATAGGCAACGGTAACTACTGTCCATCAAGTAGGCCGTCTGCACGTTTACTATCTTTTATATAAATATATATTCACTAAAATTCCTTTTAAATCTGCTTAAACAGAAATAGAATTTTGAAAAAATTGCTCATTAAAAGCGTCGACTAAGTCTATGCAACACCATGTATACACAAAAATATATTAGAGACAATTATACTCATCTTTATTTATGTCCAAGTTTCTTATAGTGTAATATTAAAAATAATAATTTACAATCATCACCTCATATACATTCAAATTTAGAACACAATTATGTAAATATATATAAAAATAAACAAACTCCTTACTTCCACTCTACTGTTACTGGCCGGATATAAAAAACTTATATATAAATTTAAAAAAAAAACAAATTAATTAATTGATCGTGATAACAGAGGTGGCGAGGACTCGTCTCCGTGAGGAAGGTGACAAGTATAGGAAGTTCTGGCAGACGCTGCATACTGTGTGGCTTGAAGAAGGTTATAGAGGAGTATACAGGTTAGTAAGGATATATATTATATTGATAACTTAATAAATTGAATAGTTAATATGGAAATTTCAAATAAACAAAAAAGTTGCTGAATTTTTATTCTTTGCAACAAATAATGTTGCTTGTGTAACAAATCTGTGTGGTAAAATAAAAGGTCCTCCGTTTTTTGTTTTTACCAGACTAATTATTAAGTGTAACATTTGAAGATTTGCAATAAATAGCGTTTCTTATCGTCAGACTAATATTAATAATTTTATAGTAAAGTAGTTATTTTTCAGTATTAGTATTACAATGAAAAGGATGATAAGTTTATATTTCGTAACTGAACAATTTCAGATAGACATCAGTTCAATATAATTAATCATCTTTAAAAAAACAGTGTCAAACTAAATTATGTAAGAAAAAACAATAAAAAAGACTTTTATTATATATAATTAATTGTATTATTTAATTTCACAGAGGCCTCGGAACACAGTTGGTCAGACAAATCCCGAACACAGCTATCATGATGTCAACATATGAAGCGGTCGTGTACTTACTGACTACACACTTCAATAGTTCCTTCTACGAGAACACTTAGATCAGATATCTTCAACATCTGTGATTCCCTTAGAAAAGCCCGAAGGCTCAATTAGAAAAGGGCCGAGCAAAGCCGCGGAACATCGCCTAACTTGATCCGAAATTAGAATAACACAGCTATACATAACATATGAATAGCTGAATGAAGATTTAGTTGAAAAATTTATATCGAATAAAAACAAAAAGTAGATAGATGGCTCTGTCCCTATGTCCACAGTGTAAATAATTAACTGTTCTCATTGAATATTTTAAAATTTGTTAAAAAATACATTTAAAATGTAACTAACTACCTTCATTCCCCGTAAAGTGCAAGATACAAAACTATTGTTTCAAAACAGATTAGTACATATTTGTGTTTCATTATATTCGTATAGTTTAATGAGTTAAATTTTGTCATGTAAATATTTATAGGAAGTTAATTTTTTATATATATATTTGGTTGTCTGTAAAATGCATCGATACTTAAATGCGCAGCTCATTACTGGCGGGGTAAATGAATCATTAAAACTTTGGGATATTTAATAGTGTAATAAAGTTTTAAAGTTACAAAAATAAATAAATTTTAGTATGCTTATAGTCACATCTAGTCTTAATTTTCAATAAATATTCACATCACCAAATTTCATCAAAAGCCATATTTATGTAAGTTCATATACTTTGTTTATTTTAAATTACCACTTGCAATAGTATTTCTTTTATGTTTTTGATACTGCTTTAGTTTAAAAACAATTTTAAAATTTTTATAATAACGCCAGCGTACAACAGATAAATAAAATTTGTATTCGTTTTCTAAACACCTACTATTTCTTTTTGTAAGCTGAAAAAAAAAAAAGATTAAACTGTATGAGGTAGATTGTGTATTGTTTTAATGTATATGGCAATGATATTTTTAAAAAAATTAGAAAAAACATCGAGGGCCCACAAGTTATCTAATGATCATATTGTATATGATCCCGCAGTTTTATATTCATTATAAAAATGCGAGCTGTGATATAGTGCTTGTAAATATGTTGTTTTATATCACGGGCTCCCGATATTAGAAGTTTAATATTTACTTGCAATGGCGGACTCGGAAAACGCGGTAAATGTCAATATGGAGTCCATTACATTAAATTGTTACATAAAATCAAAAAATATTTTGATATTATATAATTTTTAGTTTAGTCTACTAATCAGTACATGAAGCATGTAGTTATAATGATGTTGGTTATTACTAAGGAATGGAAAATATTTGTGGTTGTATATTTATTAAGGAAAGATTTGGACATATGTCAGACTGAGTATAAAAAACCAATTGTGTTTATTAAAAATAAATGTTTAAAAATATTTTGTCTATTATTTTTTATATAATATAATGTATTTTCAGATTTTATTCCAAAAGTAGGAATAATTATTTTATTGACCTAAAGGAGGGGACTGGATGCGGCAAGCGGAGGACTGGGTGTTATTGCAATAATTTGGAATAGGCCTATGTCCAGCAGTGGACCAAGATTGGCTAAATACCCACAAACAAGATTTTCACTTAAATAGTGTTTGCTACTACCCAAAGTGAATAGTCTTAATTGCTGACACATTTGTTGTAAATTCTAATGAACTGTGATATGAAATTAATATGAAGTAATAAAATAAAAACATTACACATTTCTTTGGAAAAAGGCAATTATATTTAAATTTTTATTATTTTCTTAACTAACAATTGGTTTTAATAAGGATCCAATAGAAACCTTTGATATTACAAACCAAACATGAGTGGAAATAGCATTAGGTACATCACTCGGATAACTCAATATAGTGCTTAGTGGAAACAAGTCACCTCTAAGAGCCACAATCGGCTCACGTCTAAACCAAATAACTGATATTACAATGACAACTGCTATCACTACTTGTAAGAAGATATTTATTGATCCTTTTATAGCCAAACTTCTGCTTAATCGTACTTGAGAACTGTCCTTTAATTCTGTTTCAAGCTTGTTTAATTTACGTTGCAACTTGGAATAAGCTGCAAATTCATCTTTCATCGATATCTTCACCTGATCGGATTTTAATTGGACGATTTCTGATAGTAAACGTCTTTCGTCATTGGAAGGTCTAACAAAACATGCTGCAATCTGAAAATAGCACAATTATGAGCGAAAACAGTGAAATTGTGGAAATGATGCTTCATTAAATCAAAGAGAATACGTACAGGTTTAACCAGAATTGGAATTAGTGTGCTGAGGGTACAAAGTATGACAAAATAAGTAAGCAAAAATCCATTAATTATTTCCAACATTATTGTTATCTGTTTATTGAAGACCGTCGTCCTTTTTTTATACAAAAGTCAATAATTCTCAACTATGTGAAATGATTGAGAAAGGTGAAAACTATTTATGGCACCTAAATTATATATTAATTTCAAAATAGACCCTCTTTTCTTTCATGTTTGTAATAATGTCAAAAACAAAAATTGTCAATGTTATTTGTCAAAACTATGAGCACTAAATATTTGTAAGCTAGACTAAATATAATATATGAAAAATTTAAAAAAATAACATAAAATATAAAGTTGTAGATGTTATCTTTTTTAGATTGATTTTAGAAAAGTTGTTTTTAAGTAAAAGCGTCGCTAAAATTGTGACAGTATACTAGTAAAAGAAAATATACCAGTATTAATAAAAAAATATAAGTTCTAAATAAAGTCGTCATTGCTTACAACAAAATACTCTATACTAAAGAGTTGTATAACTGAATGAAAAGAAAATTACTTATTTGTAAAATTTAAAAAAATCCTTAGATTTCTCAATTTATTATAACAATTTATAAAATATGAGTAAAGTATATATAATAAATTTTTTGTTAATATGTAAGAGTATAAAAGTAATCACTTAAGAATTTTTGCAGAGTAAAAATCAACATGCAATTATGCACAAATTGTGATTTTATCACATTTTTCTAAAAGCTATCTATTATAGGCCGAAACATTAATTTTGCTTTTACTGCAACAGATGAAAGGACTTAAATATAAAATGTAGAGCTAACTTTGATAAGGCCCTGTAACACCCTGATTTGGTAAATTGAATGGTACTTGAATGAAATAATTTTTATTACAGCAGCTATAAATTGTCAATTCGTGAAAATATTTGCAGTTCTAATTACACTTGCTAAAAAACCGTGTGACAGTACAGAGAAACCATTGACGCAGGTTACCATACTTGACAGTTGACCTGTTGACACTATTAGGCTATGAAGTATGAAGTGTGGAAGGATGTTAAAAGTTTATTTTTTTAAAAAGAATAAGTAACCTACGAAAATTTTGTACACATATTTTTTTCTTAATTCATTGAATAAACTCATGTACAATGAAAAATGCAATTTATTTAGAAACCTCTACATCTCCAGAGGATTATAATTCAAGAAATAAAATAAAAATATCTTTAGAGACTTTAGTAACTTATTCGGTATATAAATTCTGTGTATCTGATATTAAATTGTATTTTGTACATAATAAAAATACACCAGAGTCAAGCTTGGTGGAAATAACTTGTGAAAATATAGATTATGTTGATTTAAAAATTGTACCATGGCAAGTTAAATCGTGTATATATCCTGTTGCTTTTTATGATGATACTATTATAACTGGTTTGTGTGCGGTGTGTAGACATATATGTAAGTTCAGATTGACTCCTCGATCCTGTCATGAGTATGAGGAAGGTCTACTTGCTTTCCGTAGAGGTTGCCTGCAAGCTCCCAATGAAGTATCTATATGGACAAAATTTTGTGAAGTAGAACTTATCAACACAGTCAAAGAGTTATTTAACATAACTAGCTTGAGGGAGGTACCAAAAAGTTTAGTGAGGTTTGAAAATCATTTGAATAAACCTGTGAGAATTCACAACATATTTAAAGTAGCTAATGATCTGAGCAAGGATAGCTCTGAAAGTATAGAAAATGTTGACAAAATTCAAAAAAAGAAATCACAAAAAGATTCTAGAGTTTCAAAGCAGCGGAAGTGGAAATCAAATGTAAAGGATGATCAAACTAAGGTGAATTGCCTCAAGAGAGAAGATCTTGATATACATCACCAATATGCCGAGGGACCATTTTTTACTTTAGCCGACTTGGTATTACTACCTTCATACTACATTATTAGACAGTTTTTTGGGGAAAAACTTTTCCAAACCCTATTACCACTGTCACATAAATGGTTTTTAAATGTGAAAAATGTAAAAGAAGTTGATGAATTGTATAATTTCTTAAGTACAATTCAAATTCAGCCGCTTGAAATTGGTCAAATTAATTTTCCAGATGTAGAGGATGTTAGTCTATATAAATCAGATCCTAAGAGACACAATCCTAAAAAAAGATTGTTTACCAAACCTGATGACATTGAGAAAGCATTAAATGTTTTAGTAGAAGGCATGGAACTGGATATAAGTAATCTAGAATTTGAGAAAACATTTGATTGGGAAGACATACCTGATGGTGCAAATCCTGAGGCCGGCCATTTGCCTGATGAACGAGTGGAACGGAAATCACAGCAACTACAAAATCTTACCCTTGCTGTGCTCGATATGGCAAAGGATGGGGATCATATTGTTGATTTCTGCAGTGGAAGCGGTCATTTGGGTATACTGATTGCACACCTCTTACCAAAATGCACAATAATTTTACTTGAAAATAAAGAGCAGTCTCTATTAAGAGCTCGAGACAGAGTCCACGAAATGGGACTAAAGAATGTTTACTTTTTCCAATGCAATTTGGATTTCTTTATCGGAAAATTTGATATCGGCGTCGCGTTACATGCATGCGGTATAGCCAGTGATTTGGTTTTGGACAAATGTTTGAAATCCAAAGCTAAGTTCGTGTTATGTCCTTGCTGCTATGGTTCAATTCACGCTACTGATAGGCTGGTGTATCCAAGAAGTGCTGCATTTAAAGAAATGAGTATTGAACAATACTTATGTATCGGTCACACCGCTGATCAAACACACAAAGAACATCCGCTTACAATAAGAGGAGCAAGGTGTATGGCAGTTATTGATTCTGACCGAGCCAGGCTAGCTGAAGAACATGGCTATAAAGTAACACTATCAAGACTTAAACCACTATCTTGTACTCCTAAGAATAATCTACTTATTGGTGTACCTATATAAATAAAGACTATTGTCAAATATAACAGTTTTATTATACAAGCACTGCCCTTTAAATATAAATGTATAATATCTATAATAAAAGTTAATTTATGATTATATAAAAATAAACATCTAATAGTACAAACTGACACCCATTTGTAATTAGTTAACAATAATTATTTGTTTCATATTCTTCTATGGAAACTTCTCACATATTTTTGTTACATAATATAATTGCAATATGAAAATAAACTCTTAATTAATTTATATTCAGAAAAAACAGCTACGGATGCTGTTTTTAAATTGCACCTTACTTCATTGAGCACTCTTACTTATTATAAAACAATGTTTGAATAAAGTTTATTATTTTGACCAATTATGAGTAATTGAGTAACATTAACACTTAAGATCTACATAGCAGTCTCAACTAAAAATATAAATTTCAAATATATATTTGCATCTGGCAAGATGTTTTTTTAGGACAAAATTTATTCACATCGGGCGTAGACTAACGCTGTACGACACGGGATGTAGAGCTGTAATTTAAAAAAAAAAGTATTTTCAGTGTTATGTACCATTCAGAAACCAAATTTTTAATAAAAGAAAGTATGATTAGCTTACTAAAAGGATTAAAACATTTTGTAAGGAAATATTGATTAATTTTAATGTAAGTTTCCCTTTTTCATCATTGTTTTGTGTCTATTACCTGAACGGAATCCTTTCTGTCATTCCAGGGCATGTTCTGAGTGAAGTGATATTCCCCATCCGGCTCCACGCGACCAAAACCGCCGTATTTTTTACTATCCGAACACAATACAGCCTGAAATAAAAGTAAACAATACAACCATTGTATTTAATCAAATCAGTCAAACTTAAAAAAATTAATTAGAGATATGTTTGCCACAAATAAGTTTAAAACAAAATTGTGCGTGTCATGACGCTCGACGGAAGTGGCAACTTAAATTGAGAATCTGTTTACTAATAAATTTAATATTACTAAAATACTTTTGCCGATACGTGAGAGAAAGCGTAGCCAGACTTATGCGTCACCCAAAGAAATCATTAATTTAATTTCTGGATGCATAGAATTAAAAAAAATGTGGTTAGATTTAGATAGCATATTTTATGTGTATATACCTGATATTTTCCAGGTACGTCGACACCAACACGGTAGTCGGTGAAGCTTTGGTTTGGATGGAAATTAAAGACGAACAGAAGTCCCGCGCGCTCGAACGCTATCACCTTGTCGCCTTCATGTTTACATGACACGTACGCCTGACAGGAAAAGGAAATGTTATTAATGCGTTCCTTTCAAACGCCTTTACGATATAATATATGCCTTTAAGATCTTTTCTATATCTTCTTAGAATGATCCATCAGATGCTATCTTGGTGAATATATGTAAAATGTATATATTATGTACCTAATACAGAATTCTGTCAATTAACATAATTTACTTATTAAAAGAAGGATTTACTACATTGCTAAGGGTCTGGGATAAAAGAGTGGGAGAAATTATTCGGTAGTTATTGTGCTGTAGGAATACTCACCGGATTTGATGCGAGCCATCCATATTTGTTCTCTAAGGCGTGCATGTCTTTGTCGAATTCGTTCAGATACTTGTATTTGAGCAGCTGATCGTCCACTAGATGCCACTGTCTCCGGGCGTAGTGGTACGAGGAGTTGTTGCCAGCTCGAGGGAAATCTAACCATTCGGGGTGACCGAATTCGTTACCTGAAATATTATTGATACAAAAACATGATATAAAAATATGATTTTTTTGTTAGTAGGACTTAGTCCCTTTTCGCAAAAAAATAAGAAATCAACTTAAAATTCTGGTTTCATAAATAAATATGTTGGTTGCATGGTAGATAGATGCTCGGTTGATATTCTATGGAGTATTATAAAGTTATCATAATCTCATTCTTGATATTTATATTAAAAGTTCAGTCGACACTTAGTTAACTTCTAAATGTACACACTGACGGTGACTTTGACTTTATATATTCTTATAAGGATTTTTTCTGTCAATAACTTAATACAAAATATAAGGGTTCTAAAGAAGAATTCTCTTTAAACTTACCCATGAAATTTAGGTATGCTTCTCCTCCCAACGCGTTAGTGATGAGTCGTATCATACAGTGTAGCGCGAGACCTCTCTCTATGACCGGGTTGGGGTCGCTGAGGGTGCTCATGTGAGTGTACATGGCCGCGTCCATCAACCAGAACGCGATTGTTTTATCACCAACTAGAGCCTACATGACAATAAAACACAGTTCAGTACTATGGAAATCCTATGAAGCTATGTATTAATCGAAAATAATAATATTTCTTTCCTAAAAATATGTAGGTTTTTGAAATATAAGTAGTTGTATAAATAGTTTCCCAAAATATCACAGATTCTGAAATATTATCACTGATATGAGACCACATACTCACTATACATTCATGGGTCAGGACAACTTGGTTATGACTATCCATATCTGTCTACTGACAATTCTACTAATATTATAATTGAGAAAGTTTGCGAGTGTGTGTGAATGTTTGTTGCATCTTCACGCACAAACGGCTGAACCGATTTTGATAAAATTTCGTATACAGGAAGCTGACGTCCAGGAATAACACATAGGCTACTTTACGTCCCGGAAATCCCGAAAATCCGCGGGTAACACCGCGGTTCACAGCTAGTAGATCTATATGGGCCAACAATTTACTATATTAACATAGATCTAGCTAACCTGGTCATGGCTCTCAGCATACGCCACAGTGCCCTCCATCCACCGTCTGTTAGTGAGTGTGTGTACGATGTGTCCCATCTTCCAGTCTTCGTCTCTTTCTTCCTTCAGTAACTTGATCCACATGTCAGGGATGGCCATACCTAGACGATAGTCGAATCCCGTACCTCCTTCACGAACTGGTCGCCCGGATGCTGGCATGCCTGATACATCCTGCAATCATGATCAAAATATCTTATATTCTATGTAATTTCCATATATATGTAAATATAACATTGATTATATTGACATTAACATCTGTGTTGACTGTTTTTTCTTTGATGTCTTTCGTTTTATTTGATATTAAGTTCGTGCAATAAATGATATTATTACTATCGTTTATATGAAAATGCAATTCATTTGTTTAATTATTCGCGAAGGTTCCATTCAACATACCTCAGCTATAGTGATGGCCTGGCTGTCTATGGAGTGTATGAGCTCGTTAGCCACCATCAAGTAGACGAGCGCTTCTGTATCAACGTTTAATCCGTAGTACTCATCATAATTTCCAGAGAAACCTTCGCCAATACCACGGCTGTGGTACAACATTGACGTCACGCCGTCAAACCTGAGACGAAATTAACCATTAAGTAATAGTAAAGCTACCTTTTGGTTCATAATACCAAATTTAATACACACCTGAATCCATCAAACTGATATTCCTCTTGGTACCATCTCAGGTTAGAAAGTAGGAAACGTAACACCTCGGTTCTGTGAAAGAAAGAAATTATTTACATGGGCCACAATACAGTTATAAATCTTTTTATAACAAAGGGGTCAAACGAGCAGACAACATGCCTAATGGAGGTAAAATTATCGTCTGTGGACATTCGCAAAATAGTTTTGCGAATGCTTTGCCGATCTTGATTGGGGAAGAGGGACAAGAAAGGGATTGAACATAGAAAGGGCAAACAGCTCTCTCACACATCAAACAAAACGCAGCCATTAAAGGCTACTTCACGCCGATCTTCTGTGAGAGGGTAGTACTTCCCCGGTCGAGCCAGCACATGTTCGAGCTGTAGTAACTTGGCTACAGCTAGGCTCTTCCACCTAAAAGGATATATGTAACCTAATTATTCGATACTTACTCGGAATAATTGAACAATCTGCTGTCCCATAGCGAGTGTGTTCCTCTCGCACCGTCGTGGAAGTAGCAGGAGTTGGTTCCGTCGAACTCATTGAGACCATCCAACGTGTTCTTGGAGGCGTGAGAGTGAACCACGTCTAGTAACACGTATATACCGAGCTCGTGAGCACGGTCGATTAACTGCTTTAACTCACAGGGAGTTCCATAACGACTGGTTAAAAACAAAAACATATATGAATGACGGAGATGAGATAACGAATAAATTAGTATACGCTGAACTCATTAGAAGGTTTTTAATAAAATATTGTACATATTATTCTATAGGCTACAGTTTCTATTACATGTTTTTGGGGATCATTGTATTAAAATATTTTTGGCAATTAAATGTAAGATAAGAAAATATTATAATTGTATTAAATGTGACGAAAATGTATATTTCACCTGCTAGCTGCAAAGAAGCTTGTAACCTGATATCCGAAAGACGCGTAATACGCGTGTTCCATTATAGCCATCAACTGTATAGCGTTGTAACCTGAAAATAATCATAACAAATATTAAATGGGCGAAAGCAGCATAAAATTTTTGACGTCAGATACTTAATAATAGTAAATTTACCTAAATCTTTAATCCTAGGCAGCACATTGTCCTTGAATTCAAGATAAGTGCCAACTCTTCCCTCGTTGGTAGCGATCCCCACGTGGCATTCGTAGATACGTAAGGAAGATGGCCTCTTAACTTTTCTGTGCTTGAACTGGTATGGCTGAAAAAATATGTCAATAATTATGAAATTGACTAATATGAAACAGAATAATTGACGAGATATTAAAAGAAAATCATAATAATATTTTATATAGATAAATTATGCCCTCTTAAGTCATTAAGGCAGTACTTTGCTGATTAACTTATTAGTTACCTGTTCCGGTTTGTAAACGAATTGTTGGTAAGTGAATCCTTCATATGGCTTAACGTAACTCGCCCACGGAGACACCCGATAAAGATGTTCATTCACAATAAGCTGGACTCGACTCAAATGCTTGATGGGACACGATTCATCCTCATTTCCAGGTATATAAAGCTCCCACTTTCCATATTCCAGCTTCCTGAACGGATGGCTCTTTGGATTCCAACCATCTAAATAAAAAACAAACTATAAGTCACAATCAAATGATTCCAAGGACATTTTTTGGTCACACATCCCTTCCGGCCCCACCAAGGCCGGTTGGAGGGCTCGTAAAAAGTTTCCCTGCGTCATCAAAAAAAAGGTCATCTTTTGCGCACAAAAAGAGGAGCAATATTAATTGCAGTAAAACAACTGAATTGTTATATTATCTTATAATGTCTGAACTCACTGAAGTCTCCCTGAAGATGAAGGGAATGTGCTCCAGGGGCCCATTCTCTCCACACGACTGATCCGTCGACGCAGAACTGTGGCCCATAGTAACGGTAACCAGTAGTGAACCCTTCAACACCACCCTCCCATGACTCTATCTTATCCCAAAGATCTTGGAAGCAGGCGAACCTGGAAAATATGGCAACACTCATTACTCTTACGATCTTTGAAGGCTCAAAAAGACTCGTATCCAGAGCCGTAAAAACATTTACAAAAAAAAATAACGATCTTTGGTAGAAATTAGATGTACTCAATGAATGCAGAAGTTGTCATTTATAGCAATCTCATAAAATTCATTATTTCTGTTAATTTATATCCCTTTCAAGTCATATCAATAAAACTTCAAGGCTTATGAAAAACAGAGTTTATCGAATACAAACTTGACACAATGCTCAAAAAAATAATTTATGTACTTGTTATGAGAGTCGACGATTTCGCGGAGTGGACCAAGACTTTTATGAATAATTAATTACTATCCTTATATTTTTACTTGTAATAAATGCAAAAGAAATTTCTTTTGATAAACGTGGAGCTGGGGATTAATCGATTTCAGTATTGGTTTGTTTCTTTATATTTGAATTTAAAAATAAATAAATAATAACTGTACATATGGTGAAAAAAATTCCAAAATTTTCATATACCTATTCAAAAGTAGTAAATATTCGATGCAAATTTGTTGGTAACTTTTAAACCATATCCGAGATTAAACTCAAAATATTCCTAAATTAAAGTTTTCTTATCAATATTTAACTATGTTAATGGTATCGAACTAGCATACGTTATCGTCTTTTGAATTATAAATAGAAGTTAACGTGAAAGAATGAATTGTATGTAATTTTACCTATATAATGCATGTATTTAAATTTATAATGACAGTCTAATGGAGGGTGACAAAAATATAAGTTAAAAGTAAAATATTTTTTTTCGCATTAGATCTTCTAAATAATTGATATAAAAAGCAATGTAATTCGAAAGTCCTATTGAAACAGTACTCACTAAATCAAGATTTTATAATAAAATATGATTATTAAGGATATTTTGTCGGCTGACTTTATTATACGAACGACCTTAAGTTTGACATTGAAATTGACACCTTCATCGCTTGAAGCACAGTAAGCGCTGCACTAATTGTAAACAAGAACATCACTTTTTTAACAGTACAATACTATTATAATAAATTTAAGAAAGCATAAAACATATCTATTTTCTTTAAAACTCTAACGACACATATATTTAATCTATTGGTAAAAATCAAAATGCACATATTTTCAACATAAAATATAAGAGCGCTTTACGCTTTGAGATGTCATTATTGTAAACAAGTTAACCTCAAATACTAAGAGTTTTACCGCAGAGAAATTCGTATATTGTAAATAATTTTAACTATTAGTGGTATTTTATTATATTAAATAATAATTAACACTTACCTTCGTCGAATTTCACGTTCATATGGTCTTAAATAACCGTCTCTTTGGAATAAATGTTTTAAATCGGGGACTGGTACGTCCATCGGGTCCATAGTAGAATAATTTCCTCCCATTCTATCGATGTAGGTATATATGTTAAAATTCGAACTAGTGCGCACGCGCCGTTTTACAACCGCGCGAACCGATAAATGAAGATTAAATGATCTCTAGTGTATATTACGGGCGGGAATAATAATTATGAATAAAATAAACCGATAATTTGATAGCAGTGGGTCAACAATGTCAGATTATGCATGTTTATTTAAGTTGGAACTAGGTATCCAAAGTTTAAAATTGTTAATGACCTTTCATTTTTAAAAGACACAGATTTGATTTTTCATAATTATTCATTTGATATAAAATAAGTATTGAAGTAAGTTATAGAATTTAATTTTTTAATTCATTTTCTGTAGGCTGTAATAGTCTCGATATTAAAATTATTTACTGGGATTAAAAACATAAAAATAGATGTTTAAATATTCTTGTACTAATTTATATATATTTTTTCTCAATTATTGTATAAAGAAATATTTTTTATTCACAATAGAAATTTGTCATCTTCACACTTTAGAATAAAAGTAAATTTTATATGCTTATTACTGGATGTATATTAAATAGGGATATACATGTGATATAAAAGGTCAATATTAAAATCAAATATTTATTTTCTACTGTATCATCTAGTCATAACATATGTTCAAATACCATCTACTTATAAACTGTTTTATTATAATTATATCATAAACTAGTAATCTATACATTTAAAATATATCAGAGCCGGTTCTTTTTGCTCTCTGTATAGCTTCTTCGGGTTGTAAGCTTTCCTCTTCCGAAGGTTCAATCGGTTGGCCGTCAGCATTTAATTTACCTTGCTTATAATCAGTAACAATCTTTTTACTATAAACAGCATCAAACAATTGCTCTGGTGTGAATTCACTTTGGATTACATCCTCTGCCTTGTAAGATACGTAAGGTTTCAGATTACAATCTTTCAAATCGGGTACAATGAGTTCTGGTATCATTTCTGGTACTTTTACATATCTACCGTTCAACATATAGCCAGTGTCGCGGACACCACGTTTGTCTACTTCTAATTCTGGATTAGGACCGCTCTGTCTCTCCTTGAACAAACGGGACCCTCGTTTGTTTGCGACCACGAATTTCCTGAAATTTCTTTTACCCTCACGAGGTGCAGATAGCGAAATGTTACGTTTCACTACGAAATCAATGAGATTTGATATTTTAGACATTTTTTCTTTGTTATATATTTTTTAAATTCTGTCAAAAGTATTGATACAAAAATATTTTTGAAAATATTGCAGGTTATTTTTTGACAAAACGTCAAGTGTCAACATCAAAAGTTATTTCTTAGTAATCTGTCAAGCTTCTGCTCAGATAATAAAATATGTAATCTTTATAAAGGTTTTTAGATAAAGTTTGGAAGGTTTGACACACTTAATAGTTAATATGTAAAAAAAAATCAGTCCTATTTATTATATTTTTACAGTTATTATTTTACTTTGTTTTTCAGTAGGTTATTTAAATTAATATTGATTATTTAATATTTGTAATTTTCAAAGAAAAGGGTTTTTGGAAAATATTTTTTATGTGATTAATATAAAGATCATATATAAGTTTTATGACTAAACTGTTTTTTTTCTCGGTATAATTAAAAAATAAAAAGTTATAACGAATTAAAAATAAATTTGAAAAATCTATGTAATGGTGGCTCTTCTGCTGTTTGACATTATATATTTTTCTTTTCAGCTGAATGAAAATATGGAGAATTATATTTACTACACTACAATGGGATATAGAGCAAAAATTATAGTTAATGTAATACCACATAAGTTAAGACGAAAACTACAAACTATCCAGGAGATATTAAGTGAATCATCACAAAATATTGAAATTGACTTTGCTCCTTCAAACTTAACCTCAGATAAAAGTCAGCATTCAAATACAGACTAACACACATGGACGGACTGAAGTCCATGCATGCATTCACCCACCCATGCATGCATTCACCCACCCATGCATGCATCCAGCCACCAATGTATGCATCCACACATCCATCCGGCCATAAACCCATCCATGCACTGTCTTCACCAACTTTTATTTCCGTCACTTTCATTCGCCTCGCCGATTACATTTTCGTAACGCTTTCACAATCTTACCCCCAAGCGAGCGTGAATAAGTTCTACTTCAATGACTAATATAAGTATGCCAACATCTATACTAATATTATAAAGCTGAAGAGTTTGTTTGTTTGTTTGAAAGCGCTAATATCCGAAACTACAGGTTTGAATTGAATAATTCTTTTTGTGTTGGATAGTCCAGTTATCGAGGAAGGCTGTGGGCCATATAACATCACGCTACGACCAATAGGAGCAAAGATATAGTGGTAAATGTGTAAGAAACGGGAGAAATTATTTCATCTTTGAAGCCTTCCGTTGCGTGCGCCGTGAAAACGGTTCAAGATACACAAAAAATATGTAATAAAGAATAATAGCTCTTTTAATGATCTAAAAAACAATCCGCGACAGTATATGTCTATCTTTTAAAATTACTCACAAAAACCGTTTTCATGGTACCTAATTTTTTCGAAATAATTTAAGTTGTATCAAAATAATAATATTAATCTTTATTCATATAAACAAATAAATATGTTGTTGGTTAAGAGTAGTTCATTATTAATAAAAAAAAAAACATGGGTTTCATCCTGAAAATTCTACGGGAACTCGACCATTCCGAAAACCCCGCAAGAACGGGAACTATGTATCTGGGAAGAACCAAAAATCTGACGGAAGTAACTATTCCACGCGGACGAAGCCGCGTCAAAAGCTAGTTTCTTATAAATCTATTGAATCAAAAATATAACATTCCAAATTTACTAGAAGCTCACAAAAGTATTATATCTAGTAGTATTGCACGTTCTAATAGCTCACAAGACATTTAGGAAGCTCCAGAAAATCGGTTATCATAAATATATCCACATAACGTATATTATCGGAATTAGCTTTTATAAAAACTTTATCACAAATGACTAAATAGAATTACTTCATAATATATTTTTTTTACACTAACACACTGTTGACATTGTACTGTTTTCAAATTCTTTTTACATTGTGACGTCAGAAGCATGGCGACCAGATCATGTTTTTACTAGTTTATTTTTTTCTTAATTTTGTGAAGCGTTTGACCGCCGATAAATAATTACCATTTTTTTTAGTTAATATTTTTTCTAAATTAATATTAAATGACGGTATATTCTATAACAAGTTTGGGTGCCTTTTTTATTATACTAAAACTCCCCGGGGTTTATTGTTGTGTACTATTAACGCATATCCAAAAAATATTAGGTATCAAGTTAATTATCCATCAGTAATGAATTATAAATACACGATGAATGCAGGAGACCATTTTCAAAGAGATCAATCTTTTATAAAATATGTCATTATACATATAATAAAGTTTTTGGTGTTCATACTTTTCAGTTGTATTATTCATATTTTATAACTCTACATTCATAATAACTTAACAAGTATTTCATTAATACATTAAGATGATAAGTATAAACAAATAAATCCGATTAATATACATTCAACATGAAATAAAAAGTTTAGTAGGTGACAAAAAAATATTACATAGCTTACAAAATTGAATCCATATATTTCTTAATAAAACTAACTTAATCGTCAATTCCATATACTTAAAGTCACACTATACAATTTATTATACATAAAACAATTAAACCAACATGTTTGGTAATAAATATATTTACTTTTGAATGAAAAAAAAATGTAATCAAATTATAATTTAATATTTTGTGCATTTTATAGCAATAACAATTTATTGAGCACCATAATGACAATAGCATCAAAAGTATTAAGTGACATACTTGAAGAACTATATAAGAAACAATACACTTATATTTAGCATTAGTCGATACTTATATCACCTCGGTAAATACAATTTTATCCCACTATTGAAACTCAATGTTAATTTTGATAACACTTCAGGGTTGGCACCTGTTCAATGTAAATAGGGAATGTCAAAGTAGTTTGAAATTTATTTATTTCTAACATACTAAATATATTACCTACATTACACTTGGCATACAATGAAATAGATATTGGACCCCATGTAATAAATTATATATAAAAAAATGTCTCTGTAATTTTTTTTGAACATTTACACTGAATATATATTCATATTGTAAACAGCTAGTTTTCTTCTAAGTTACTTCAAAGAATATTAAAGATTTGATAAAAGTCTATACTGACAATGCTTGAATTGCAAATATAAAAAGGCTCTAATCTTAAGTACCAAGTAGAGCCAATAATTTGTACATTTATAAGAATGTAAGCTATTTCAATGCTTATATGTTACAGAGACATATAAATATTTCAAGAGACTGGAGATTTCAGTTTTGTTTAAGGAATTTTGTTACTATAATATATAGTATATACATATTCTATACTATGCCAAACAAAGAAGTCATAACTAAAACAGGTTTGTGTTTAAATATATTAAACATAGATTTATAATATCTTGGTGTATTACACGACATAGCCGCACCATTATATAAATATATGATTACATCAAGTAGACCGGAATATACATTTTAATAAATAAAAATACACAATGAATGAACCCCTTATATTAATATTTCTGATATTCTATACTCCTTATATTAAAAAAGTATTTAAATTTATTGAACATTCAAAGGACTATCACATATCTGTCATTGAGACAAAAACAATTTCCGAACAACAATATTCCGTATTCAAAAATTCATAGATACTAAATGTATCCATAGAAAAAATGTTTTATAAAATCTATTCTATGGTTTTACAGACTATGTTTCATCGACATATACTAATGGACGTGCCGTACGCGTATAATCTGCAGTAATTTTTTGGTTTGAAAAGAGTGAGAGAGATGGCCTATCCTTTCGGTCTAGCACTATCTCTTTCCTTATAGATGATTGGCGCTCAGTCAATACGGTACTATTTGAGAGAGATAAAGATAGAGATAGAAACCTCGTTTCCTTTCTTTCTTTCGGAGTGCCACAATTCTCATCTCTAAGATATGCATATCCATTAGTATATCGATGCTATGGTTTTTTTTAGTCTATGGTCATTTGTTACGTCACGTGTCAGCGGGTCTCTCATCATGATTGTCAATTTCCTCGAGCGTTTCGTTGGAGTAATGCGTGAGGTCGCTCAACTCATCTATTTGCTTCTGCTTCTTACGGACATTCCAATGAAGACATTCAGCCAACGAGTCAAACCAATCAGATATCTGATCCTGCGCGCATATCGACGGCACCGGATACACTGACGTAGTCACGTACATACTAAAATAAATTAAAAATAATATTAAACATTCAGCCATTTATTAGAATATTATTCATTTGTTATTAACTAAGCCACAAAACACCGAAGCTGAATAAGCTGGCATGCAACAATAAAATGAACGACCCTAATATAAAAACTATACTAAAATACCCAGCGTATGCACTATCAATTAACCCTTTGTGATGGCAACACTAAGCTATACACATACTGACAGCCCGACATATCCCAGTATATATACCTATCGCCGGGTTTGAGTATCAACTGTGAACGGCCGTCGAATGACACGCTGGCCAAATTATGAGCCTCTAGGCTTAGCATTATCTGAAACAAGCTAATTACATGAGTAAATATACCCAGCTACACTAGTTTATTTGGGAATACCTTCTAGAAAGTTCTACCTATCTTTCTACCTACATATATATCTAGTACATATAATTTGTAAGCGTATGCGTTAAGCGTTAACATTCAAGGTCATTCTATCATATACCTATCTCCGTGCCGTAATTCCTGTCTGTTCCTCCCGTCGAATGATACCCACATAGCGTTACGGGCGTCCGGTGATAATGCGATCTAAAATTGTTTGTAAATTCATCTATTTTATTATTAATTGATTGAATATTGTTATAAACCATTTTTGAATAAAATATACATATATATTAGTGATATTTCTTGGGGAATTTGTGACATGCTGTCTGGATTCAACTTTTTGAGTTTTTGAGGATCACAAACATTATGATGGATGGATCATGTGGTCATTATGATCACGTGACCGTGTGATCATATGATCATAATGATCATCTGATCATATTTACCTTGAGCTCAACCCCGGCGGGTACAACGATGGGTCTGAAGGAAAGTGAGTGTGGACATATAGGTGTGACCATTATTGCAGGCACTGAAGGATGTATCATACTTGCACCCGCTGCGACTGCGTACGCTGTACTTCCGGTTGGCGTTGAAACTATCAGACCTGTGACGAAAAAGTAACATTATTATAAGTCCTACTAATATTATAAATGCGAAAGTAACTCTGTCTATCTGTCTGTTACGCTTTCACGCCTAAACCGCTGAACTGTTTTAATAAAATTTGGTACAAAGATAGTTGTCCTTGAGAAAGAACGTATATAGTTTTTATACCAGACTTTTGAAAGGTTCTCTTGGAAACGCGATATAAGCGAACTCCACGCGGGCGAAGCGGGCGGAAAGCTAGTAACTAATAATTGCTTTCAAATTTGGTTAGGCAGAGAGAGGAGCTTGGATGGTACAAGTGAGCAATTAACGCGCGTTTTATAGGAGCCCCTTAAACCTACACCTGGGTCACAAGTCCCAAGTACTGTTGAAGCTCCTCTCACTACAACGATGGACCCGACACTAACACAGTGAATACATTAAATTCTGAGTAGTTTCGTGTCATATACTAACCGTCGCCCTGAACAGAAGTGATGTGTTTTCCATCTAAAAACAAGTCGATGTTTGATAGGTAAGGTGAGGGACCTCTGTCTACAACAACTTCGTTTAAAACCAATATAGTTGTAGGTTTCTTCTTTTCTTTGCCGTCTTCTGGAATTTTCCTCAGCACAACGCATTGCAGACGCGACCTTAGTGTTAATGCTGCATGACCTGGAAATATAATAATAATAATAACTTTTTATTTCAAGTCACTATGACTCACTTTATTGTTAGTGATACATATTACTTATCTCCTATGTTAGTATAATAAATTAATTAAACAAAAATAAAAAAAAAAAAAAAAAAACTATCACTAAATTGTAATCATGGTAGTAATTGCTGAACTAATCCGCTCGAAATAGCACAAAAATGACTTACATACTTACAGTCTAACCTGCTAGCATATAGGTCTGGCAATATGACTGATCTAAGAAATCTTTCTAAATCTATATATAAAAGAAAGTGGTCTTAGCTACACTATTCATAACTCAAGAACGGCTGCAGGGATATGGTTGAAAATTGGTGGGTAGATAGCTTAGAACCAGGAGACGGACATAGGATATTTAAATCTGTTCGATCGAAAAAGAAAAAACTAATAATAAGTCCCAATATCTGGTTATTTATGGACTCTAGGGCGAAGTAGAGTATATATTACTAATTCTGAAATTAACGCGCGTCAGAAACTAGTATGTTATATGAATTACCTTCTAAAACATTTTCAACTTGCTCCTGGAAATTATTGAATTCGAACGGCGTCAAGAATCCCAGTGAGCCTAGGTGGAACGCCATTACCGGCGGAACTGATTGCTGGAACAAAATATATATAGATATAATAAATAATTTATATGACAAAATGACTTAAATAACTAAGTTGGATATACAAGAGAGAAGGGAGATTATTATGATTCGTAACTTTTTGGTAATTTTTTTTATTTTCAATGACACAAAATTCTACACACAATAGAATTGACAAAAATGTATAGTATTCAACTAGAGACGAAATATATCAGACAAAGCATCGAGTGTTCTAGATCATAGCGATCTTCATAACAAACATCCGTATCCGGTGGATATAGATCAGAGGTACACAACTTAAATAAGCCACGCTATACAGCACCAATAATAATATAGTTCTATTTTTAAATCGAATATTTTATTTCAACAAAGGAGTTCCGACGTGTCTATTGACTATTCAGTACATCAAAATAACATGACGTTCTATTTTTAATTTTTTTTTTTTACCAAGGAGATCGAATAATTTTTTTATATTCGAATATTTTATTTGAACAAAGGAGTTCCGATGTGTCTATTCACTATTCAGTATATCAAAATAACGTGACGTTCTATTTTTAAATTTTTATATACTTTTTTTTGTAACCAAGGAGGTCGAATGCTTTTGTTATATACATGGAACAAGGAGCTGGCATATAAGAGAGTGCCGTATTCAGTACATCAAAATAACGTGACGTTCTATTTTTAAATTTTTATATACTTTTTTTTGTAACCAAGGAGGTCGAATGCTTTTGTTATATACATGGAACAAGGAGCTGGCATATAAGAGAGTGCCGTATTCAGTACATCAAAATGACGTGACGTTCTATTTTTAAATTTATATATTTTTTTTTACCAAGGAGGTTTAATATTTTTTTATATTCGAATATTTTATTTGAACAAAGGAGTTCCGATGTGTCTATTAACTATTCAGTACATCAAAATAACGTGACGTTCTATTTTTATATATTTTTTACCAAGGAGGTTTAATATATATTTTTTATGTACCTGAAACAATGAGCTGGCATGTAACAGAGTGCCGTCTCCTCCCAGACAGATGATGAAGTCTATCTTGTCAGTGAGGTCGTCGGTGCCGGCCCTGAAGGTCATGAGCCGGTCGCGGACGGACGTGAAGTCCCCGTACTCCTTCAACAACGTGTCTTCGAGCACAGCGGACTCCACGAACACAACCATACTCTTCTCCTGGAAATATATTATAATGTATATTAATGACTTTGGATGTATAGTGTCATGCAAAAAAATCTCTGCCCGTTATCACGGTTGCTGCAAAGTGTTTGAAACGTCGGGAGTATATAGTTTTAAAAATAATAGAATAACGTGAGGTAATCCGAAAATATTAGATTCATTTGAATGAATACTCGCGAAAGTCTGGGATCCCATTCGTGTCTTGCAAGTTTAAGTATTATCTTAAATCAAAACTAAAAGTCTTTGATCTAAAATATAAGTCATATTATTGATGACTTTTCAAGATAATAAATTTGGATATTTTTTTAACCTGATATAAGATGCAATATTATGAAGCGTCATAATTATTCATATTTTAAATTATAAGCGAGTCATTCTCAATCACTTTCGCACCTGGAATATCCTTGATAGAGAGGGTAGATGTTAAAAATAAAAATCTACGTATGTGTGTATTACAAACACGTTTATATGTGTGTGTAAGCACGACTGCTTGTGTGTGTGTGTGTGTGTGTATTTATATTGTATATACACACATGTACGAGCCAATGCACGAGCTGAACGAACGGCACCAAAACACTTGAATCGTGTAACTTCTTTATAACAAGAACTGATAACGGCGGCTTGTACCAGGTCAATCTCTGAGAAGCCGGGTCTTGGATCTGCCTGAAAATAAATACAATTAATTTAATTTTAATATTTATTGATGGCAACATTTAAAGTTTTTTATTAATTTTAATAGTCTGGCAACATTTATGCTTATAACAGATAACGAAAAGGTATAAAAGATTTATGATACAGATAAAATATATTATTGTTTTTTTTTTTTAATTCTTACATAACCATAGCCGAGTTCTTCATTATTCTGCCGCATGGTCCAAACTGTTGTATGGGTGAAGGAGCATTCAGAGATCTCGTTCTCCTACAACAATAAAAACGTGTTATTAACAGTTTCTAATTAATTGCATACCTATATATAAATATTTCATAATTAAAATTATAAAAAATTATATAAAAAAAAAAATTTATGGGTATATTTATATCTAATTAATTATTTTTTCGGGCTGTATGTCTGTTTGTTACACCTTTTTTATGGACAGATAAGTAATTTTGACGTAACTTCAAGTGACTAAGCGTTATGTAATGAGAAGTTACTTGAGCCGACTCTATATTCTTCTATCAATAGACACAATAAAAATTGATTATACCAAGCAAAGTCGAATGCACAGCTAGTATAATGATGATATATTAATAGCACATAATGCGATGGTTTTTTTTTTCATATAAACCTTGTTATTTCCCTGTCAATACAAGGACAATACAATTATATAGAGACTATTATCAATAAAAATAACTATATAAATTTTCATTAAATATTCGATACATCAAAAATATATAAAAGATATTTATTATCACAGAATTTTAGTAACTTATAATAAGCATATATTATAAGTTACATTATAATAAGTGTATATTATAAGTTACATTTTTCATTGTAAATTACCAAATTTTTTAACGATAAGACCGCACTTTATCACCCTTTTTATTTTTTATTTTGTATATATTTTATTATATAATTAAATAAAGAGAATATTTATTATTAAATCTGAAAGTATTTACATGAATCAAATCGAAGTATACACATACTTGTGGTTAAATAACTACTATAGTAGCTTCTAGTTGTAACTAAATTAAACAGTTGTTATGTAATATCTGGACATTGTTTTTATTTTCAAGCAAAATCGTTTAACATAATAATGCGACGCGGTAATAATTAGTATCTTAAATTCAAAATTTATTTAAATTATTCTGAAAAATAACATTTAAAATCACATAATTTATAATAAAATCTCATTAGTAGGTAATATAAAAAAGACGATATTTTTTTTACTAAAATATACATTTAAATGAAACTAATATTACTCGGATTACTACGTGTGTATTTATTATTAAAAAAACTACATACTCCCGACGATTCGGTTACTTTACAGCAACCGTGATCATGAAGACGAGATGTGATAAAATATACATATTATATAAAATAGTCTTATGTATAAAATAAAAGAAATATTATTTAATATAAATTTAAATAATTACCTGGACACATGACGTCTCTATAACACTGTTTCAAACAGTGACTGTGTCCAGTAAGCAGTGAACTTTGACACACGATTTTTGAATAAATCCATACACAATTAAATACATGTTGAATTGTTATAATGCTAAATTAACTTTCGTATAAGTCTACATGAAATTATAATGACATTTTTGAAAAAAATAATCTTTTTTTAGCAAATAAAGTTTTATGAGATCTAAGACTTTCGCGAGTATTAATAAAATAACTTAAAAAACCTAAATTTTTCGCGTATTTTACTGATCACGGGCAGACGAGATGATATGCCAGTTATCACGATCCTAAGTACAAAGTTAAAATATTTATAAACGCGTAGTAAATCCCAAAAATATTAATTCTATTTCATCGAATACAGATTATAAGTTGATAATATTATCTTAACTTTACCTATATTTTTTTTAATAAATTAATAACTGGGTAGGTAGCGTGAGAAAAAATACCTGTTCTCAGTAATACAGGAGTTGGAAATTCTTTGTGTGGATGGGAAAAATAAAAATGAGACGCAGTCCTGTGCTAGCACTATAAGTATTGAATGACCTTGAACAACGTTTGTTTTAAATTATGCATATAATTTTGAATACAAAAACACAAATAATTTAAGTTGCGATTTGTGTAACGCCAAGATTGCTTTTTATAAGTCCATCGCATGAGTGTTTTGCTAAACTTATTAATGACAGTTGATGGGATATATTTAATACGAAGTGACTTTGAAGTTTATACAATATAATAGCTTTAGACCGCGACTTCGTCGTCATCAGCCTATCAGAGCCCACTGCTGGGCGAAGGCCTCTTTCTCACATGGAGAAGGTTTGAGCATTAATCACCACGCTTGCTCAAGACGGGTTGGTGATTTCAAACTTATAATTGTGAAATTATAGGTCCAGGTTTCCTCACGATGTTTTCCTTCACCAGCCAACAGCGACATCTATAGTTTGCGAACGTTATTGTATACTTAATACAAAATTAATCTTTAATCCCAAAGCAACTCCACGAAATTCTGGTATAAAATTTAGCCTATATTCTTTTATGATACGTAAGGTAGATTACTGAAAAGTTACATCGAAATCTGGTACGTAGATTTTATTTGTTAAGTTAGGAAACATTAATATATGTAATAAATAAATATCCGTTTCTTATTATTTTGCACAAGTTAACTACATTATAATAAGTGGTAACAACGTCTGTGTTATATATTTTATTTTTCTATTGCCTATTTTATAAATATAAAATTTTTGAACAGCCTGTATATTAAAATAAACAAATTGGACATAACTACTACATATAGAACAGTGTTGCATTAACTTATCGACCTTAAACGACTTTTTATATTAAAATTCTAATTATGACGGCACTTAAATATTTTTGGTCAAATTACTGACTTTAGTTGCATTTTAAGTATATTTAAAAAAAAACATTTATTGTTACATTTTTATTGAAAAGGCGTACATAATCTAAAATTACTTTTTTACTTATCAATATAAATAATAATAATAATATTTATAAAACAACCATTCACTGTCATCAATTAAAGATTATAATAAACATGTCATCTAAAAAGGTTTTAACGGATTTAAGATAATACAATAATAATCACTAATGTTCCCACAAAAAAATCGCGTCATAACCAATCAAAATAAATAAATGTAGACTCATTAAATGAATTTTCATTTATTTCAATACATATAGAATAAATGAAATTATTCATATATTTTTGTTTTTTAATGTAATGTTGTTTGACAAGTCATCGTTATAATTATTTTAAAATATCTATAAAAATTCATTTAAGTACTCCATTCGTTATCTTAACTGTAGGCTTTTTAATCGATAACTATACATCTGATAAACAATCAATTGTAGTGAAACAAACAATTTTTTCACGATCATTGTGTTAAATAATAAGGTATTTATGTTATATAAAGGTAGAATATTATATCAATAAAAACTACATAAATCTGAAATGATTCATAAAAAAAAAATCATAAAAAAAAATCCTTCGATATATGTATCCGAATTAGGAATGTTTACATGACAAACCTTCTGTCAAAATATTCCTCTTTAGCCAAAATGAGCGCCGTTTTTCCAGATTCATGTGAGAATTGCCGTCTCAGCATGATTTTACGTCTACCGGAACAATTATATACACATTTTCTTATAAATTAAAGAACATCAAGTCATTCAAGGCTAAATATTAACATCAAATCCAAATAAAACAACACTAACACAATAACACAGCCCGGCGTCGTCGGTGTGTTTATAACGACTGGTTTGTCGACCGTACGCGCATCTTAGCCCTCCATCGCGACCTTGAAAGTTAACTTCGCGATTCGCGCCACAATTCATACTTTTTGAATTACAAATAGGGTTAACGACCTCGGACGACGCTGTTACATTACGATTTTAAGTATCTAAAGAGTTTTAAAATATATATTTATATGTGATATACTAGTGTATTAAAAGTGAAAGTTCAACAAGGTCTCATCGTATAGTTACATGTTAAAAAATGAAAGTGATTACGTATATTTTTTTTTAACCGCACGAAACAAGGTCCGCGTTGTACGGCCGACGAAGATTGAGCTGTTGTTGGTACTTGGTGATTACCGTCAGCATTGACCGACATTTGATTACACCACGTTTAAATGATGTTAGATTTTAGAGAAAGTGTGCGAATCGTAGGATTTTTTGCAAAATTTTGGCCTAAAAATATAATTAATACGAGCTGTTAAGGAATTTAAAATATGTACTGAAATTAACGCTTATTTGTCGTAATGAAAATAAATTAAATTTTTATCGATTAACACGTACCTTATTATAAAGCAATACGCATATGGATAATATGCATGGAAAATAACTGAATTGTAAATAATTACATACATAATTAATACTTTGAAGTTACAATACTGAGTTTTAGTCAAACAAGTCGTATGAATAAATTGATTTTTCCCGCCTTTTTATAGAAATATTTGCGAAAGTATGCAATATTAATTTGTTTGCGATACATCATACAATTAAATTGTATTATGTTTATTTTTGTACAGATTATTATTATTATGATACTCGTTAATCAAGTAGCCAATTGATAGATAAGATAAATTCACGCTACTTTATATAAAATCTTTTATAATATTTAGTTCGGATATATTATTTTAATTTACATTAGATAATAGATAGTGCTTGATTCATTGCACCTGTTGATTTCGGTGATAAATAAACAATTGCACTATCTAAATATTCACCTGGCTTGAAGAGACCCTTATTATTATTAGAAGGAAACAAAGATGCAGGAAAAGAGTTGCAAAACTTTGAGAAGAGGCAGCTTCTTCGTATTGATGCAAGAAAGTATGTATACCCAAAATGGGTCTTATTAGATAGAAATTGGATGAAGGAATAAAATCGTGATAAAGATTATAGTCTCCAAATTGTAACATGTAGAGTACTAAGATGTTGGTACTTTTCGCGTCCGTTCAAGGCTGGCTATATTTATAACAAAATTGTTAAGCCAAGTTTCTGCAAATATACTATACTTAAATGCATAGCATAAAAAAATTACCTTAAATGAATACCTTATGCATTGCAAATGGTATTGCTATTATCGATCTCATGTACATATTCTTATTTGTTTTGCATTTAATTATAATAGTATCAAAGGTTATTAACTAAATGAATTATCGAGAGGCATCCGAAGAAGTGAAATAATGAAAAACACATCTCGTCTCTCTGTAATCATGGTTGCTGCAAAGTAAACGAAACGTTGTATGTATGTAGTTTCAAAAATAAAATGACGAGCAGTAGTCCGAAATATTAGTTTAATTTAAATGAATACTCGCTAAAGTCTGAGATCTTATTCGAGTTAAAACAATAATTTTGATAGCTTTTAATGAGGACGTAGATGGAAATAGTAAGACGTGTATACAGCCTATGCAGGTACGTTTATGTAATGTCCTTGTAAAATATATCACTTGCTATAATTTTGTTACATTTGTAACATTTAAACTCAATATTAGAAACGTATAATTTAAATAATATTGAATGATTAATAGAAAAATACTTATCATACAAAATGCAAGTACCTTCTAGTATTGTTTCATTAGAATTTTG